TTTTTTTTTTTTTTTTTTTTTTTTTTTTTAGCGCTGGATGACCAAGCTGACCGACCCTCAGAAATATATATACATCTCACGGTGCAGACAAAGAGCTTTGATGCTTCGCACCATCCTCAGCGATAAAGGAAGTCTCAAACAGAGCGGCGGTAAACGCAAGCAAACGCTAATATTCCAAGGTGGAGGTTAATGCTCTTGTTTCATCACCTGCCTGCCTGCCTGCTTGCCCACCTCCGCATCTCCTGTACACCCCTTCAAGGAGGATCAATATCAATTTAACGCACACACTACTCTCGGCCTAAGCCAATAAAGTCCTCTATGGGTGAGCTCAGCCTTACTTCAAGCCTCGCCGCCAAACCACCGCCATCATCCTTATATTGCTCCTGTTTCGGCCACTCTTCGCCTATGCAGACCTCGTCTTCTTCGTATATGAACTTCAAACTGTTCCGTTTTCAGTGGAGGAGATTCCGACAGAAGCGACGACAAACCATGAATTCCGCTGGCAATCACAATGCCAAGTGCTCTCGGCACAGTGACAGTGACTGTGACAAGGCCGCCGCGCGTGAGGTTATCAAGGCGCACGACTCCGAGATCGATCGACGGCGGCAGGGAAATGGGGATGGGGACCGGGCTAGAGACGGCACTTATGGTTTACCCCTGAACTCTAATGCTATTGGCTCCGTACTAGATGTAGCTGACTACGAAAAATTGCGGGCAAAGGTTGTCTCTCGAGAAGATGAGCTGTCGTTTGATGCTCGGTATCGGTCCCGGGCGAGTGATATGGAGCGCCGTGTTGATGAGATTATTCGACGTGTGCGAAAAGAAGACGAGATTCTTTTTTCTGGGCAGGTGCCTCGCAAAGGGTATCACGGCCAGCTGCACCCGCGGTTTGCGGGCGATCACTTCTTATCCAATGTTGACTTGATTGGCGAGACAGGCTTATTCAAGATTGCTTCCATGATGCCCAAAGGCGCTCATCTGCATAACCATTTCAATGCTTGTTTACCGCCCTACGTGCTGCTTGACATTGCAAAGGGCATGGATCGCATGTTTATAACAAGTAACATCCCCCTTATCTGCAAAGGCAAGGGCGAGGATAAATTTGAGAATTTTGACAAGTGCGAGATACAGTTCTCCATCATGAGTCCCGATAAGGAGGACGCTGGCGACCTATTCTCTCCTAGATACCAGTCCAGGCAAACAATGAAATTCTCAGAGTTTTTGAATCGCTTTTCAACGTACTATACCAGAGCGGATGTTGGTACTGATGACAAAACTAAAGCTGATAAGTGGTTGCTACACAAACTCCTTTTTCAAGAGGAAGAGGCTTATGATCACTTACAAACGGCGTCTGGGTGAGTTTGTTCTTCAATGACCCTTTCCCTTTCTCCCCTCATCACTTAGCGCTGCGCTATTTATTAAAAAAGGAAAAAAAAAAACCCTCGACTTTTTCATCTTGAGAACTGACAGTCTTTGTTTTCCTAAACATGCAGTGCCTGGGAAAAGTTCAACGGGAGAACACGGATGATGAAAGGCCTCTTCAACTACGTGACTGCTTACCGATCTTATACCCGTCAGTGCCTTGAAGACTTCGCCCGAGACAATATTCAGTATGCCGAGATACGGCCTACTATGATGGCGAGCAATTACATTTACAGTGATGACGGATCGACGACGATTGATAACGAGGGTATTATGGAGATTATCATTAAAGAAGTGGAGGATTTCCAAAGAGCCAAAGCTCAGGAAAACAAGTTCTTTGGGGGCCTCAAGGTTATCTACTGCACACCAAGATCAATGCTACCCGAGCAGGTTAAAGATGCTCTTGATGAATGCAGAAGGTTTAAGAAGAAGTGGCCGAGATGGATTGCAGGTAAGCATCTGACATATTCACTCTCATTTTTGTTTTGAAAGTGGGACTAATTTTTTTCCTCCTAGGTTATGATCTTGTTGGTGAAGAGGCAAAAGGCTATCCTATCAGGGAATTCATTCCGCAGCTTCTCGACTTCAGGAGGAAATGTGCCGAGGAAAACCTTGATATACCTTTCCTCTTTCACTGTGGCGAGACGCTAGATTTAGGTACCGAGACGGATGGAAATCTAGTCGACGCTCTGTTACTAGGTTCAAAGCGAATAGGGCATGGCTTTGCGCTAGCAAACCATCCATACATCATGCAGCAGATGAAAGCGAAAGGCATATGCCTGGAGCTGTGTCCTATTTCGAATGAGATCCTAGGACTTACGCCAAGGGTCAATGGACATACAATGTACCAACTGCTTGCGAATAATGTGCATTGCACTGTCAACTCTGACAACGGCGCACTTTTTAGGTAAGTCATTACAAAGCTTTACACTACTTTGGTATATGCGATATCTGGGAGGCATTTTGATCTAACAAAGGAAAAGATCCTCTTTATCGCATGACTTTTACCAAGTCATGGTGGGGAAGAAAAGCATGGGGCTATATGGATGGAAGCAACTTGTCATGTGGAGCCTCGAACATGCGTGCTTAGAGGACGAGGAGAGGAAAGATATAACGAGGCATTGGGAGATGCTGTGGAGGGAGTTCCTGATTAATGTAATCGAATGGTATGAGAAGAGAGAGAGAGAAACGGCTGTTGAGGAGAAGTCCAAGATGTGACTACGTCACTTCCATTCGCTTTTTCTTTTCTTTTCCTCTTATTTTCTCTTTTTTCTTTCTTTCGTTTGTTTCTTCTTTTGAATTTTGTATTTTATGAATGCGGCGTTTTGGTTGGTGTGGCTGACTTGCCCTCAAAGGGGTTCAGGGAAGAGAGGCGTTTGAATACCCAGCCGATTAGACGGATGAGACGCGGGTTGCGAAGAGATGGCGGTAGCGATGCCTTTATACATATATACGCCATATATTTTGTATTTCCTGTTTATATGTTAGATATTCATCCACCTTATTTTTTAGATGTTACAAGGATTGATGATTAAACAGCTGCCGACAAATGCCGGGTTGTGGATTGGTGAGAGCTGACTTGAAAAATCTATGATTAGTATGTGAGTTCTAGACTGCAGTCGGACCGGTTGAAGAATTTGATTAGCGCATCGTGTACCTATAGTATCGTAAAAAGCGGTCAAAAAATGGACACATCGAGATTGGCGCCATAGCATAGCGAGAAGGCAGGAAACTTGACCGCTGCAGCAACTAAACAAACATCAGTGGATACTGTATGTGTTTGGCGCTCGGGCTGGCGCCGAAGCCAGTTGCAGAGTTGCATGTAACCTGCTGGCAATATCCCCAAAAGAGGCGATGTTCCAGGGAGAATAGGAGGCTGATATATGTGAATCGAAAAAAAGATAAAACAAGACATCAGTTCACGGAGGTTGCATTTTGTCCAAGCGGCTTACTGGCAGGGGATTCGTTGAGACGAACTTGTAACTCAGGAGTCATGCGGCATGTAAACGGGGCGGGTAAGGTGCTGACAGGTGGGCAGGCTAAAACTCGTTGTAGAAACGTTCACGTTGATACCTACCAGTAGTATCAAGTTCTTTTGCGGATTACTATCCAGTCGGTGTAGTTGCAAGCTGCACGCAGAATCTTGCGGCGAAGAAGCGTGTCTGAATGAGGATACCCAGGATTGAAATTGTTGGAATAACGCTCTTTTTCTATCGCCGTGCAAGTCGTGATTCCCGGTGAACTGTACGCGTATGCAAGTCTGGCTGAGCCTTGATATGGAGCAATCCTACAGGCATTTCGGTGAGTCGGTGGGGTAGCACTGCATGTAGCTGCATATATACCGACAAGAGCTCTCATCCTTGGGGCTGTAGGCCTGGGATCTATGTAAGAAGGGGAAAATATGCCTCGCTTGCGTAGACTCTGCAGACGTTACGCAGACTTTCAGCTATGAAGACGTTTGAAAAACAAGGGATTGTGCCTGTGATTTGGAATCGCTGTGGCTTGGGAAAATAGGCAGAAGAGAGAGACGCTGCACAAGAGTGGGTTGGCTGCACGAGCGGGTTGTCAGCAGCACCGAGACAAACGCATCTTTGAATGGACGAGGGCGGTTATGGCCCCCACTGAGAGCAGTTCGTTTGCATGCTATTGTTGCCACCCGCAGCTTTAAAGACCCAATGGAGACAAGGTGGCTTCGCGGCAGCGGCTTGAGACTAAAAAGAGGACTCTAAGGTTATTGGCAGTGTTGGGAGCTGAATATGACGATGTGGTGGTGTGGACGAAACCGCTAAGCACTAAAAGGGGCTGATTGTCGCGGGTAGTCTAAAGGGAAGGGAGAAACTAAGGGAGTTGTCAACTCTACCTACTCGGGTTAAAACAGCATCGATATGGCGGTTTGTCTAGAGCCTTTTTGTTTTCATGGTTGGTGTTGTTGCCGGCAACTAACTACTACGAGTAGTACATGGTTAATCTTAATTTCTAGCTTAAGGCCCTCGGCGATATTTCCCACGACAGGGACCGCTCACAGTGACCGCTGCTACACACACACACGCATGCACTGATTATTGATCCGATCAACTGGTTGAGTGTGGCACACGCGCTCGCCCAACTAAGCCCACTAGCATAGCCCTGCTGCAGGCTCTAAACCGCATCCATGGCCCGCTGTCGATGCAGAGCCGCCGGCGAAAAGACAGGAGCAGATGGAGGCTAAGGATGCGACCCGGATCTCACCTCGTCCGGGATTCTTGTTTCCAGTCCCTTTTCCTCGCTTCTTGTCGTCTTTTTCCTCTTTTCATCTCTTCTTCTTTCATATCACGACGACGACTGTAAAAGGAAGCTTGTGTTTATTAGTGTGTTCAATCTTTCTGGCCGTGCTTGCGTTGCTCTTGTCGCTCTTTGGTTTGCTGCGTATTATACCATCAATACTTTTGTGTGTTCTCCTTATTTGACAGCATAACTGCCACCACCACCACCACCACCACCACCATCATCATCATCGCCTTCATCATCATCCTCAATTACAACAACAACCACAACAACACCGTAGATCAAACAAAATGTCCAACCCAGGAGATCCCGGCTGGAAATGGTTCCCCAACGACAAAGACTCGTGGCGTCTCGATGTCGTCTCCCTGCTCGCAGTCATTGGCGAATCCGCCATCGGCGAACACTCACAAACCATCACCGCCTCGATGCTCTGCATGCTGCCCCGTCTCCTGCCCGCGCCCCAGGCCCTTCTGAAGCCGTCCCGCCCCACGCGTTTGCCCGAGACGCACGCCAAGATGGCCGGTGTGGAGAGCGGCACGGTCCTCGACTCGGTGGGATTCTTCGCCAACATCATCCTGCCCCTGGAGGACATGGCGCCCTACGACTTCGTCGAGCTGGACATTCGACACGCGCCAGATGCGCTGCCCGTCGAGGCTGTAAATCAGCCCCATCACGGCCGTGGCTTTATTGCCCGGTGCATGTCGTGGGTTCGCAGGGCCGAGCCCTTTGCCGAGGGTCTTTCCGCCAGTGAGGAAAAGGAGAGCGATGCCGAGCATCGAGGAATCACGTCGTCGACTGACCGAGATGTCGAGGAGGGCCGCCACCTGTCTGCGAGACACCACACGGACTCCAAAGTGCACTTTGACTCCAGCGCTGCCAATGGGCACGACCATCACGGCGTCCATCCTGGAATAGTACGCCGACGAACCAACACCGAGGTGGTGCAAGACCTGCTCTCGGCCAGAACCATCGCCATCAAGGGCAGGCGGCCCATCGTTCCACCAAAGCTCTTCTCCCCCCTCCACATCCTGTCTGCCTTCTCGTGCCTCCTCAGCATCGGCATCCTCATCGCCGCCATTTTCTGGCAAGACGGCACGGCCATCCTCGCCATCGTCCTCGTCTCCTTTGTGTCCACCGTCATCGGCTACGCTTCCTCCTGGCGGCCCATTCTCATGCAGCGCCGCCACAATAACAAGGTGCCCAGCGGCGACGTCATGATCCGGACCCGCGAGGGAGCCTTTGTCCTGGTTCGCTGCTCCGAGGACGTGGCTCGCGAGCTCTACTCCGGCACCGAAGAGTGCGACTACTACGTCGGCGAGAAGGTGTACAGGCTGTGCATGGCGCTCGGCACCATCCTTCTCATGTTTGGCGTCGTGCTGCTCGGCAACTGCACCTGGAACTCGCAGATCTTCATCGGCGGGTCGTACATCATCCTCAACGGCCTGTACTGGGGCCTCGGCATGCTGCCCCTAAAGTACTTTTGGGATCTCTCGCGCTACACCTGCAAAAACGTCACAAAGAAGGACAGCCAGAAGGCGCACGGCGTCACCAACGAAAAGGACGAGCGCGAGGGATACCCCAGCTTCACGCGCACCTTGTGGTACGCCATACGCGAGACAAAGACCATAGGATGGGTCGAGCGCAGCGGTGCCGCGCCCGGAACGCCCCAGTGGAAGCAGTGGCTGAGCGAGGCGCTGGAGAATGCAAAGGCCGGGAATCGTGACTGGCCGGCCGTGAAGAGGAAGAATGAGATTATGTCTGGGGCGACTGATCCGGCGGAGCAGAAGGCGCCGGTGGTTGAAGTGCAAGGTGCGCATGCAAATGCGGGACCCAATGGCTCGACATTTTGAAGAGGAGGGAATTCTTTGAGTGAGGATTGTGATGGGATATCGCCCTTTTTCTTCTTCACAATCTTACGATTGATTTGAGTTTTTACGACTCCATTTCTGCTCTTTTCCTCTTTTTCAGGTTCATAAAAGGTCGTGCTTGAGTGGCATAGCGATGGATTATATGCAAGAGCGTGGAATTACATAAACAAAGGTTTTTGATTGGATATTTACGGGATATATAATGATTTGATAGATACCACCTTGTTTATTGGCAAGGATTCAAGTTTTGAGCATGGATAACAAGACACTTGTACGATTTGCATACGTTCAGATTGAGCAAGCGAGCAAACTAAGCTGATATAAAGACACATTTTTAATATTACACATTATCACAATGGAAAAGCGTTTCCAATGAGCAACAACTTTTTCTCTAAATTAAGAAGAGCAAGTACATGTATATATAAACGTGTAATAAACGAAAAAAGTAGCACTTTGAAAAAAGTCTAAAGAAAAACGAAAAAAAGAAAACGACTTTTGTCAAACAAGATTGAAAAAAAAAAAAAAAAGACATGACAAAATGCCGCCCTAAACACCGGCTGTTGATGCAACCCCAGACGCTAACCTGTCCACCTAGGATATTTTACGCACCACACACACATATACTGTATTTCTCCCTCAGATCTCTCTATATGTTTTCTTCTTTTCTCCTTTTTCATTTCTCTCAATCTCTCTACTTAATCGTCAAAGTAGACGGCCTTCTTCTCAGTAATGTCAATCACTCCAGCACGGAAGTTGCCCCTCTTCTTCTTGTTCTTCTCCTTGGTGAAGCCCTTGCCCTTTGTGACAATGAGATCCTCGTGAGCCCGCTGGGAGTAGCTGATGGGCACATACTCGTTGGAGGCGAACTTGGGGTCCACCTTGATGTTCCTGTCGATGCGGGAAAAGGGCTCGTTCTTCTTCTTCTCCTTCTTGAGGTCGTATGGGTTAGGAGGCAGGGGAGGGTTGGGCACGGAATCCATAGTGGCGGAGGATGAAGAGTCGGAAGATTCCTTGGCCTCGGACTTGGTCTTGGCTACGCCATTGACCTTGGGCTTCTTATCCGAGTCGGAATCGGAGTCGGAGTCTGAATCAGAGTCTGAAGAGGATGAGTCCGAGTCAGATTCGGGAAGAGGCACTTTGGCGGCCTCCTTGGCGTCGACTTCAGACTCGCTGTCGGAGCTGTCGTCGGAGCTGGAATCCTCGTCTGAGCTGGAGCTCTCGTCTGAGGAGCTCTCGTCCGAGGAGCTCTCATCTGAGCTGGAAGACTCGCTCTCAGAGTCGGAATCAGAGTCGGAGTCGGAGCTCGGGGTGGGCTTGGCCTCAACCTTTTGCTTCTTTGCCTGAGGTTTCTTTGCCTGGGGCTTCTTGTCGTCGTCAGAGTCTGAATCAGAGCTTGAGTCGGAGTCCGAATCAGACGAGCTAGAGTCAGAGCTGGAGTCAGAGCTCGAGCTGGGAGGCGCCTTGCGCTTCAGATTCTTCTTGCCCAAGGCAGGCTTCTCGTCCTCGCTTTCGCTCTCGCTTTCACTTTCGCTGCTGCTGCTCTCGCTGGAGCTGGAGCTGTCTGAGCTGGAGCTGGAGCTGCTCGAGTCGTCCATGTCGACATCTCGGTCAGCGGGGGCCTTGGCCGAGTTCTCCCAGGCCTTGAAGACGGCAACGAGAGTGCTTCCGCTGGTGTTTTCAGACGCCTCGCCCCAGCCCTTCTTCGATCGCTGCTTCTTGAAAGCGCTGAGGGCGCTGCTGAAGGAGTTGTCGGAGAGGAATTGCTCTACGAGGTCGAGGAGCTGAGCGGGAGGCTGGGCAGAAGACTCTTGGGCTTCTGCGCCCTTGTCGGCGGCAGGGGTTTTTGACTTTGCCATTTCGCCGTTGGAGGAATTGTTCGTGCTAGAAGAATTGCTCGATTGATCCTTGCTTTGGGAAGGGTTGTTGTTGGTGTTGTTGGAAAAGAGCCAGGAAGGTGGTTTAGAGGCGTTGGACATGTGAGAAGCAGTTTATACAGAGAAAAATTAGCTTTTCAGATAATCAAGCCTAACAGTGGGCCCAATTGAGAAAGAATTGACTGCAAGGCGAAAAGAAAATGCCCAGTGCTATTCTATCGCATTCGCTGGAACCTCAACAGTTGCTCAGATGCGGATTCGAGGCTGCCCAGAAAAATTATATAGCAGCGCATTAGCCGATCTCCAAACTCGCAACGGTTCCACGCCGCCAAATGGGAAAAAAAAATTATTTCTGCCACGCGCCAGGAACAGGCGCCAAGGAAAAAGGGTAAGGTACGGCAGGGCGGTGAGCAGGAGGCTTATCGCTTATCGAGACCGTGGCAGGGCGGGATTAACTGAGGCGCCGGGCTCCGGCTTAGCGCGAAACAAGGATGCCCGGCGTTGGCGTTGGCAACGGCCTGCAGGTCCAGTGATGCAATTGGTTTGTCTTTGATATCAGCTCGACCAGCCTGAAAGGCAACAAAGCCACCGTCCCCACGGCCCTTAATTCTGCTGCCGTGGCCAGCTTTCGCTCTCTTCTTCTCTTTTGGAATCTCTTCATCTTTTGGATCCGGGACCTTTTTCTTTTGTCATCGGCCGTGTCCGGGAGCTCTCATGCCCATCGATTTGCTTGAAAGGGGACGGTGATTTCGCTAAGCTTCGACAACGGACTGGATATTGGGGCTGCGCAGCGCTTGCCCAAGCACAAGTCCCTCTTCTTGTCGGCCAAGGGGCTCTTCATAACCCTTTTTCATCCATCTATGCGACCTGGCCAATAGCCTTGCTGAGCTTACTCAACCCAACCGCGCAGAGCGATCCACCTCTCAGTCTCGCCAGGCTCATCAGCCTCCATTTCCTTTGTCTATCATGAACTCTACCAAACGCAAGTTCAACGCCTTGCTCCAGGGACTGAGTAGTCCGCGCGCCAGCACAGATCAAGAGTCTCCAGCTACCATGTTTGGAAACCGAGCACCGAGCACCAAGGCTGTGGACTATGAGGCGCTGCTGCAGAAACGTCGCCGTCTGGGCTTTCCAGAGTCAACCGCTCCACGCTTAGATACCCCCGGTTCGTCAGGCCTCTCAAGCCTGGCCACCTCCATCAGGCGAACAGTCTCTGATGCCACGACTCCGAAAGTTCGGCGGGATGGCTCTGCGAGGTATTCTCCCGGTGACAGGGAGGAGCTGCTCAAGCGCCTGGCGACGTTTCAAGAAATCACCGACTGGACGCCAAAGCCGGAAAGAGTCAACGAAGTGGAATGGGCCAAGAGGGGCTGGGTATGCCAGGGGAAGGAAAGGGTGCGATGCCTGCTGTGCCACAAAGAGCTGGTTGTGAAGCTGAGAAAGGAGGCTGGAGACAAGGAGACGGATGCATTGACAGCGGCCGAAGTTGGTATGTTTCGGAAGATTGTGAACTTTTTAGTGAACCAAATTAACTTGAACAATTCAATAGAGGCCGCATTGGTTGACAAGTATGCAGAGCTGATTGTAAGCGCGCATCAGTCAGACTGCCTTTGGAAGAGACGAGGATGTGATGGTAAGATTATCGTGACAACTTGGTATCCCGGTCTCGTTTACTAACTTTTTGACCAGATTCATTACTTCGGCTCTCATTCGTGAGCTCAAAAGCCGTCATCGAAGCTCTGAAACAGAGATATGTGGAGCTTTGCGCACGAGAGACATTTATCCCATACGAATTCAACCTTCGCCTCCCAGAGGACATGATCTTGGATGACGTGGTTGACCAGCTCTCGCCAGAATTTTTCACAAATGAAAAGTCTGGTACAAATACGCCCAATCGACCAGCCCTTGCTCTCGCACTCTTTGGCTGGCAAGGCTTGACCAATACCCGTATTGGCGCTGTTGCAAATACTGCGTCGTGTCACACCTGCCAGCGCAGATTAGGTCTGTGGATGTTCAAGAGCAAGGAAGTGGATGAAAGCGGCAAAATCATTGTCCCCGCGCCGATGGACTATCTCGACCCCGAGCGGGAACACCGTTTTTTCTGCCCTTGGAAGAATGCCGCCGCACAGAGCAGGGGACATGCCACTCAGAGCAGCAGCGAATCAGCTGATATGCCTGCATGGAAGACACTGCTGCAGACTATCAAGAACGAATCGGATCTACGGATGGTGTACGAGGGTCGGGCCAGGTCGCCATCTAAGCTGGCTGCCAAAGGTTCATCCACGCCTCTCAAAACGCCCAGCCGACCAACCGGCAGCGGTCATGCTCCGCAAATCTCTGTTGATTTGAGCGTGGACGGCGAGGATGATGAAGCTACACGGGATGCCAAGGATAAAGAGAGATGGGCGAGGTTGCGCAAAGTCAAAAGCTTGTTCGATACCAAGAAGTTGAGGAAGTCTGTGAGCAGCCGCCCAGATACGGCGGCATCCATCAAATCCAACAGGTCTATCAAGGGGGACTAAATGGTCCCAATTTCGTTTGTTTTTGGCTATTACGTTTATCTGCGGCGGTGGTATTCAATGTTATGTCTTACTTTTTTTGGACGGGATTTCTTTTTCTTTCCTTTTGGGGCTTTTTTACGTATTATCCTATTTTAGTCCATCATATGCTCTCTATATCACTATACCTCCTATTCACGATTACATATAATCAATTGTACAAAGATATTAATACCCATCTAACCTTATTGTGCATCATCATCATATAGGAAGTCTCTTCATCTTGCCTTCCATTTAATGTCATCAAATGAAACCACGGGTCCGCCATAGGTGATTGTCTCATCCTTCTTCTTCACTTCTTTGTCTTGAAGATCGAAGCCCGCCATTTCCAAGATGCTCGTCCTGACGCCTCCTACACCCCCTCCACTCGCCAGCTTGGGCATACGATCCATTCCCGCGGCCGTGATGTATATATCGGGATTCCAGCCTGATCCTTCTCTCCATCCATTCCCCGCTGATCGTGATATCTTTCTAAGCTCTCCTCGTAGCAATTCAGCCATGTCACTACACCTTTCAGTCCACGATCCCCCTCCTTTATCAGCTTTTGTCAAAACGACCAGAGTTCTGGTATTTGCCTCGGCCAGCGTCCTCAACAGCCACTTATCCTGCTCCATCAGCTTCTTCTCAGACGATATGAGCACCACCGCCCCGCGCAGCATCTTCCTCGCCTTGATGTACTTCCACACGGCGTCTCCCCAGCTGGCCTGGCTCTTGAATCCGTAGCCCGGCGTGTCCACCAGGACGAGGCTATACCGCGGCAGTTTCTCCCCTTGCTTGACGTGGCCCTTGGGGATTTTGGGGAGAGGCCCCACGGCGAAGGCGTTCATGAGGGTGGTTTTGCCGGGGCGGGCGCTGACCCTGGCGGCGTCGAGCTTGCCGACGAGGGCGTTGAGAAAGGAGGATTTGCCGACGTTGGAGGCGCCGAGGATGAGGATCTCGGGGATGTGCTCGTTTTTGGGGTGGTGGCGGAGGGATTCTGCGGAGTAGAGGAATTGGAAGCCTTGCTGGAAGAAGGCTGCTGCGGATGAGATTTGGGCGTCTTGGGATTTGGTGGTTGTTGTTGTGAGGTGGGGAGAGTTGGAGTTGGAGCTGTGGCGGATGAGGGTGCTGGTGAAGAGGGCTTCTTTGTGAGGTTTTGTGTTGGGAGGGGCGGAGCGTTTGGGGGTGATGCCGGGGATGGTGTTTGTTGTTTGGCTTGGAGTTGGAGTTGAAGTTGGTTTTGATGATGTAGTTGAGGCGGTGATGGTTGTCTTTTTGGGTGTTTGTGGTGGAGGCGGTGGTGTTGCTGGTGGATTTGGATGTTTGATGGAGTTGCTGTAAATCTCATCGTTATTGCTGGCAACGACTGAGCTGCGAGATGGTCTTGCGCTTGGACGCAGACGAGGCCATCGTGGCAGGGATGTGCTGAAGCAGGCGTGGGATATTCGAGGGTTTGAAAAGCCTTTGATGGCTTGTAGTCTTAATGAAGGCATTGGTAAGGGGATTTTGTGTATGAGTTTTGGCTTGTTAGAGTTGAGTTTTTAGAGTGATGAGATTTGGCGTTGATGTAAACACACTGTGACCCCACATAAAATTGGCAGCCGATCGATCTCAGCTTGATTAATGAGATGCTTCAACTACTTGATAGACTCAACGAGATAAATGCTGCAATTTAAGGTGCGATGGAAAGCAAGTATGATTATGAAATAAGATGAAATATCTCAGATTCGAATATAAATTGTAACTTGTATTGAAGCATACATTTTGAGACTGCGAATACAGGGTATCTGATGCGTGCTACAGTTTGCCGCAGAACGCTACACGCCTTACACAAGAGATTTTCTTGAGCTGACCCAGTAGCCTCTCTATTAGCAGGTAATAATAGATTAATAAGAAATATAGGTTATGAGTTTAAACGTCAAGTGTTTCAATCATTTTGCTCATTTCAGCTGCTGGCCATGCTCTGATACTACCCATCAAGGACTGACATACCATGTACAGTGTCAGGAAAACAAGCACAGTGCATTAACCCGACGCTGTCAAAATTCTCTATAGCCCACGAATCATCTTCATATCATGCTATTGCTCTTCATGCCACTCAACCCTCATCACCAACAACTCACTCACTCAACTCATTTACACATCCATTCCACATAAAAATCTCAAATCATCACAACAAAACATCAAAACATCAAACTATCTATCTATCTAGCATCATCATCTCACCATGGGCCACGATCTAGACGCCCACGAGCAGCCCTCAGAGCAGATGAAGGCCGAGTGGAAGCACTTTTCGCGCCTCGACCAGTCCGTCCTCCTCCAAGAAACGCCCCTCGACGATCCTCGCCTGCCCCTTGCAGAGAGCGGATTCCTTCAGACGGGCAGCATCCCGCGCTCCACCATCACAGAGGCCTTTTCTCACCTCGGGCCTGAATATGCAGCTGTAGATGCGGATGGCGCTGATGCCCCCATCTTATACCACCCTCTTCTCCCTGGTATGAAGTTCTCTCTCTCTCTCTCTCTCATCTTCTTTAAACTTATATTCTTCTCATATCATTCAACCTGCTAACTCCCTTCCTCAGGCCTCCTCATCCTCCCCTCACTCATCCCCCCAACCATCCAAACTCACCTCCTCAACACCATGATCCACCGCGATCTCAGCAATCCAATCCACCAGACAAACCTCCACCTCCACTACGACCTCCCCTACCCCTCCTCCTCAGATCCCCCCAAATCCTTCTTCTCCCTCTCCCCAGAGTCCCCCCCGACATTCATCCCCAAAGACCCCGCCGTCCACAAACCCCTTACCATCAAGCAGGCCCTCCAGCGCCGCCTCCACTGGGTCACCCTCGGCGGGCAATACGACTGGACAAACCGCGTCTACCCCGGAGCACCTCCTCCCTCCTTCCCCGCCGACCTGTCCAGCTTCCTGACGACTCTGTTCCCCGAAACCCTCGCCCAGGCTGCCATTGTCAACTTTTACACCCCCGGCGACACCATGATGATGCATCGAGACGTCAGCGAAGAGACCGACAAGGGTCTCGTCAGTCTCAGTTTTGGCTGCGAGTGCCTCTTCATGATTGCCCCCAGTCGCGGCGCTCACGAAAAAGAAGCCGTAGAGAATGCAGAAGGTGAAGACGAGGACAAGAAGAAGTATCTTCTTCTGAGACTACGCTCCGGAGACGCCATTTACATGACCAATGACTCTCGCTACGCATGGCACGGCGTCCCGAAAGTCATGAAGGGCACATGTCCGGACTACTTGGCAGATTGGCCGGCAGGAGGTGAAAATGGCGAGTTTGAAGAGTGGAAGGGCTGGATGCAGAACAAGAGAATCAATCTGAATGTTAGACAAATGAGGGAGTAGTTGGATTCTGGTTTTAGAACATATAGCCTTGTAAATGGCATCATGAAATGTAGCTTGTTTAAAAATAGATAAATTGTGTATAAATATCTGTTAAAATTGTATATCAAAGCTTCAAAGATTTTGCCCAAACGCCACAAATCGCTCCCAGCGCAATTCTAAAAAACAAAAAAAAAAAAGCCCAGAACAATCGCTAGAATCCCAAAGACGTAATAATTAGAAGCGCTCAAGTAACACTTGAAACAAGTGGCACTCTCTGTGAAAATGAAAATAGAAAGGAAGGAAGAAGTCACAGAGAGTAGATGAATAAAAGATTGCTCAAGCAAAGCCGAATCCCTGGGCATTTTCCAGCGCCATCGCCAATCGCTGTCTCAGCAAGTCCTTGTCCCTATACTCCGGCAAAAGTAACGTCCCATAACACGTATACGCTGTCGGCAGACGACTTCCACTGCCCTCGCCCTCGCCGTTTCTCTGAATCACAAACTGTAGGTTGCGCATGCCCCCGACAGGGACACGATCCGATGCAGTCACGAACTCGAGAAGCTTGCGCTTCATCCTATCATCGTACCTCTTAACAATGGACCAAAAGTCCCTAATGGTGTGGTGAGACGCATCCCATCCTACGTAGCGGGTGTACCGCCGGAGCTCAGAGATGTCAATCTCCTGGACACCTTCGACAACAGACTGCAGAATCTGAGGGCTCAGCAGGGAGAGTGACTTGTCGGTCAGGCAACTCTTGAATCCTCGTTCGAATGCCTCGTATTGCGGCCTCACCGACATATCAGTTAGATAGCGAATGTAGTCAGTCACATACTGGTCGCGGTTGTCATTGGTCACCAGCGGTGCCTCTTCTTCGTCAATCGATTCTTCTGGTAGAACAATTCGCATCTTCCAATCGAGATTCTGTGGCCACTGGATCATATCTTTGGTCATCTCCCGGGTTACGTTGCCCCCAATGTTGGGTACCGAGAACTCGTAGGTGCGCGCAAAAACATCCTCAACCGCGCCATCTGCTTCATTCCATTCCAAGAGACTCATCAGTCCACTGGCTAGGGCAGGCCATCCGTCTGCAATATGATAGAGCTCTTCGACAGGCTCGCCTAGCAGTTTTCGGTACAGTGCCTTGGGGAATGTGACGGGAAGGGTGAGGCCGTTGTACACTGCCAGTGATACAAGGACGCCTATGAGCTCAAACTTCCATTCTTCCACAACAGAGCCAGGGACAAACCATGCCATGCGTGTCCGGTCATCGATTGTGAAAGCGCCGTATTTGGGGTCCATGCACTCGGCAATTGCCATCCGAAAGAACTCCTGTTGCACACCACCCGAGTCAAATCCTTCCTCTCCGCTCAGCTCACCAAGATGAACCTTCAGAGGACGTAAAAGCTCGCGTTTCTGTCGCCTCCAGAGCTGATCGAAAGCATCTCTCAGCACGTTGTCTCTGCTAATATCCAGGATAAGATACTTGGACGACGCCACTTTCAGCATGTCTTGCAGCACGATTTTATGATGCGGATTCGCAACAAGACTGCCCGGGTCGACAATCGCACTCATCCGCGTCTTGAGTGAACTGCTCTCTTCAAACATACGACTCATCTTGGCGAAATTGATGGTCCGGAAAAACGTAATGAGGCACTCCGGACTGAAGAGGTAGGGATAATCGAGTATATGACCTCTATTTCGCTTCGAAGGCGATTCTGACCAAGATACAGGCATTTCCATAGAGTCTAGGCGTTCAGAAAAGTAGTCGGCGCGGAATTGAATATCGCCAAGTAAAAGTCGAGTTCTGTTTTGGTCTGTATACTGTATTAGCAACTATACAACTTGTAACAATTTTTACAATACGAGGTTTGACTTACACATGGTGGAAATTAGAGACAGCGCCCCATAAAAGGCGCCAGTATTCACAATCTCCGGATTCCCATCCCATTCTTGGTGCAAAACGGTCCTGGCCCAATCGAGGAGGAGGGTGGGCACGCGAGTCTCGTGCAGCAGGCGTTCGGCTTGCGTGAATTCTAGTACCCGGAGCGGTCCTGAGCTGAGAAGGTCGAGCTGATTGAGTAGTGGCTGAAGTATATCCAGCTGACCAGCCTTATTTCTGCCGTCCATTCGCATCAGATTGGCTAGAGACCGACGAGCAGACACAGCGGAGAACACACGTCGTGCTAGTCTGACGGCGACATCGTTTGAGAACACATCTTCATACTCGAGGCATATCGACTGAGGCTGTCTGGTAGAAAGACCATTGCCACCCAAAACCAAACCAGTAGACCGTATGCGTGACATGTCGTACAGAGTTTTGGAATCCGAGACGAAGGGTGCAACAGCAACAAGAGCATGTAAGCAGACCGACATGACACACCCGGCTTCAAAATCGGTCAGGGGCTTCCGGCTTCTGGGCAGTGCCCTTCCAGATCGGGGTTGTGAGATTTGAAGAGACTTGGGCGCCGTAAACAGGGCTTCTGCTGCCATCCAAAGGCTGTGAAGGACAAGACTTGGCGCGGCCCGCGTCATTCGGAGCATGCAGTAGAATAGTGTATGCGAATCGTAGAGTTTGCCGTCTTTAGAGAATGACTGAACAAGGCAGTGAGGATCGCTCAAAACGGTGAAAAGGGCCTGTTCATTGAAAGCTTTCCACTGACTTGGAGAGGTGGCATGGGATGCAGATTGCCGCCTGGTCAGCTTCTTTGATGGATTCTGCGGTTGGGGATACGAGGCGTGTGATTCCAAGGGTCCAAAGAACTGGCTTTCGTTGGTTCTATCCTCTTGGAAAACATCGCAAATGAAATCGACTAGCTCAACATTCAAGGTGGTCAAGGATTGGGGCAGCAGAAACTTGGCAGATGATAATTCGACCTCCAGAATCGGTGATACGGGCCGTGGTTTAGACTGCGGGTTGACGTGTTCCTTTTTCATGGCGGGAGCGGTGCTGCTAGGTATTTCCCTTTCCTCAATCGTCTCCGTATCTGAGGAGCCTGATTCAACGTCGTGTATTTCGCTGGTGGCAGTGGTAGTGGTGGGGGTGGGAGCAGATACATTCTCAAAGAAAGCAGGCTTGGATGGCATTTCAGGAACACCGCGAGTAACTATAGCAGGTGAGGTCTTGCCGGCACGGGCTAGCTTCTCGGGATAGAAGCCATTCAGGCTCGAAGGTCGTGAGTTTGTCTTGGCCTCTTCGGTCCCAGCTGAGATGGCAACAGGCTCCATGCTTCTTCTATTGTTAGACTTGGTTGGAGAGGAGCGAAATGTCTTTTTGGAATTCTTCTTGGGCTTAGAAGACACATCTTTGGCTGGGGGTAGCGGCTCGACTACATCTTGGCTCGACGTTCTCGAAGGTTTCGAAGTCTTGTTCTGTTTAGGCTGTGCATTTGGTAAAGGCTCGGCGTGATGGATATGGGGCTCGTCTGTTTTGTGGTTTGAAGGCTGTTGGTTATTGGTTGGATTAGATGTAGCATCGGCAGGAGCAGCAGTTGTGTCCTCGGTTGCCTGTTGAGCACCTCCCAGGTCGGATATCTTCTTTGTCATGGCGTCAATCGCCTGTGGTGTAAGCCATTCCAGCATTTTGTAAGCGACAGTGCCAAACGTAGCCACCGCAAACGACCTGTAGTCCTTTGGCACCACCTTCTCCGAGACGCTGATATTTGAAGCCGGTAAGGGGCCGGGTCGTGTGGTAGCTTCATTCTTGGTTTCATTGGATTGATTATTCAAGCGTTGTTTATCGAGCGACGATGAGCGAGATCTTGTTGTAGGGGACAAAGGCGGCTTAGCAACTACACCCGCGCTTGGTTTCCTTCGCGGCGTTGTCTGGACTTCCGATGGCCTACGGCCACTATGTTGAGACGGCGATGGCCGGGTAGAAAAGATGAGGCTGTTGACTGCAGGAGGAGCTTCTCTGGACGCTGAGCCAAGGTACGGGCATAGGCCGGCCTCGGGGCAATCCTGGCTAGCAAGATATACAGCTAGTGTCCTGGCGCTTGTTGGATTATACCTGCGGATGGGCGCCTTGCCTGCGAGGCGCTTTCGACATGTGAAGCAGGTGGCAGTCGAGCAACTCGGCGAACCGCAGCCATTTCTCAGCTGAAAGATGTATCTGTTTATAGCAGGAAGAGAATGTGTTAGTGAACGGCTCTGGGCACGCGGCGACGCAGGGTACAATCACGGGGGAATGACATACTTGTCGACGAGAGTCTGAAAGTCATGACGGCGACTGGCTCGATGGATGGCATAGACGCGACGGGGATTCTCGACATCTTGGACATAGTCCCTCAGCTCGGCCGGTGCGTCGGGAGGCAGGCGAGCAAATGGAGCCACCTGCCAGAGCCCGGCAAGCAGATCCAGCTCACCGATGGCATCGGAGGGGCTTCGGAGGCGGTGGGCTTCGGCGGCATGGCCGGGCTCGAGGCCCCTTGCTGAGGACGTCTTGTGCGCCGGCGCGCTCATGGCTGGGACGAGGTAGCCGCTTCGCTGGGGGGCTTCATCAACTCAGCAGCCCATGCTTTTGAGAGAATGAAGGGTTGGGCAGCAGTCTGACGATCGAGACGACGACGGAGATGGTGATGGAATACGAGGGGAATGCGCGCAGGTATGAGATGGCGAGGGTTCGGCCGGTGGTGGCGGCCTGCTAGCTGGTGGAAACGGGTTGGAGATGACTGGAGCAAGGCTGAGTGACGACGGCACGGGTGGATGCTGGGGGGCGGTACAACGAGGTGCTAGCACGGTCCCGGGGGCATCCGAGTACTGGTACCGCTGCCGTCGGTGGCGTGCTATCAGCAGGTGGACGGCGACAGATGTACCGGCTACCTACGGGCCAGTGCTCTCTGGTACGAAAGCAGGAGGCCGCGCAGGTATACGCCTAGCACGGCGTCCCATAGGTTATTACGAGCTGGAGTTGGCAGCGCGTTAGGCTCCCTTGTTTGCCGCCGGGAGTGCCGCGTATCAGTACATACATGGGCCCGTGTGCAGCGTGACTGGCAGCGAGAGGCGCTGTTAGGTTTGTAGTCTATTGGGCTGCCAGAACCATTTTCAGACTTCAGCTTGCTCGCCACTGGGGTTTAGCGGCAGGCAGCTGAAGAGAAGCATGTACCAGGTAGGCAACGCATCTCCCCAAGCTCAGTAGTCTTAGGCTGCTACCTGCTAATACTGCTAATACTTGTCTACTAGGTGCCTACTAGGAGACGGGGACTCGACAGTGCAAGATGCGCCATCTGCCTGGCTGGCGGCTCTCCGGCAGATGCGCAGGCGGCGCCCAAGCGGATGGTACTTTGGAGGTGGCGCCCCCATGGCATGTTCCGCAAGTCACTCTCGCTAGCAGCGCAAAGCGATGCAGGGCTGACCCACCTTCTGCAAGTGCTCGCTCGATAATACGTCAGAAACACCCCGCCACTCAAAAACTTCCACCAGAATTAATAATTCTTCGCCGCATTGCCAGAATCGACAAAAGAGTCACGCACTCTTCAGATTTGCACGGCTGCTCTCGGCTTGCAGACCCTGCCTTATATTGGGCTAGATATCCCAATATCGCTGCGATTACGGATCAACGTCCTCTTCATCCCATTCAACCACTGCGACTGGGTCGTCTTTAAACTCGCCGCATTTTTTTTTTCTTTGCGCCGTCCATCATGGCGAGCGTCCAATCTGCCCTCCCCGTGGCGCAAGCGGCCCCGAGTACGCATCCTTACACGTGCAACTCTTGCCAGGTCGCCTACCGCAATATCGACCTCCAAAAGACTCACATGAAGAGCGACTGGCAGTGAGTGCGAACCCCGTCCTGGACGCCCGTCCCTGTGTCTGCCTTGTTTTTTTCACGGCCGCTCTCTAACATGGTATTTTAGCCGATACAACTTGAAGCGACGAGTTGCCTCTCTGCCTCCCATCACCGCTGAAGTCTTCACCGAAAAGGTTCTCCAGGCTCGTGCTGAGACGTCTGCCGAAGCTGACAAGGCTCTGTTTGAACGTGCCTGCGAGCCGTGCGGCAAGACATACTACAGCGAAAACGCTTACCGAAATCACCTGCTGAGCCAGAAGCACAAGCAAAACGAAGCCAACCCACCCAAGAAGCACGATGATGAAACAACCTCTGTCATCAGCTCGACCTTTTCTCTCGGAGAGCCGGCCCCTGATGCTGACGAGGATGTGGACTCTGACGCTGAGCACGAGTTCAACAAGGTTATTCAGGGTCTCCAGCAGGCAAAGGTTTCTGAGCAGCGACCATCGCCTGTCAAGAGACCCCTCAACCCTCACACTGCTCCTGAGAGTGAAAACACTAGCACCGAATCCTCTCCAACCCCGGTACAATCTTCAACTGATCGAGTGTGGACCCTCAACACATGCGTATTCTGCAACCACGAGTCTTCTTCGCCTGTTCTAAATGCTACCCACATGGAACGCTCACACGGAATGTTTATTCCCGAACGGCCCTACTTGGTAGATTTGGAGGGTCTTATCGAATACCTGCAGAAGAGGGTTGGCGAGGACCACGAGTGTCTCAGCTGCGGCAGGTTCAAGAGCAATATCTTTGCTGTGCAGACACATATGAGAGACAAGGGCCACTGCAAGATTCCCTACTCCACGGAATACGACCAACTCGCTATTGGTGATTACTACGACTTCCGGAGTACCTATTCAGATGGAGAGGATGACGACGAGTCGGAAACAACTGAGGACGGCAATGGCGGAGCCAAGCTGGGCGCACGCCGGGAGACCAAGGCTACCGGTGCTGACGGTGAAGAACTGGAAGATGGAGATGATGCAGATGGATGGGAGACTGATAGCTCAGCCTCTGATCTGGATGAGGATGAATCCGCAGACGGCCCCACCAAACGTGAGCTGTCAAGTAAACATTCCAAGGCGCATAAGCCGGCTTACTTTGACGAGTACGAGCTTCATCTGCCGTCAGGTAAATCCGTCGGTCACCGTTCGTTGAACAAATACTACCGCCAGAACCTATACAACCACCCATCAGAGGAGGAGCGAGCAGAGCAGCTCCTCATTGAGGCAGCACGGAACGAGGACGGAGTCGAGCCAAACAGCGAGAACCAGGTCGCTGTCATCAAGAACCGAAGACGTGAAATGGCGCCTCGCGGTGCGATTGGCATGGCTGGTGTTTCGGACGAGAAGAAGCGCCTGGCCCGCAAGGACGAGCAGCGCAACCGAGACCTGAACATGTACCGGGCGAGGAAGACGGAGTACGCCTATGGCAAGAAGTTGAACAACCAGAAGCACTTCTACTACCGCGACATGAACGGTGGTTAGTGGTGAGGCGCTCGATAGTTGAATACGAGTTATGTTATGACATGAAATTTACGTATCCTGCTTGCATCTATTATTCTGAAGTATTTGTGTGATGTGTGATGATTGCCTCTGTGTGTTTCAAGCGCTTTTCCGTAATGAGACCCTAGAACAGGTTCCACTGAAATGTGGCAAGGGTACATGGTACACAGCTACGAACGAAGTGCGAGGCTCCGAAACCCTTGTAAGTAAGCTTGGAGAACAACTGATGCTCCTGTAATTTGGGATTTCACGTGTTGCAAATTTGGCTGTTTGCAAAAGTCGACATTCCGTGTTTCAATCGCTTCGGCCTAGTGAGGAAGAGAGTTTGCCTCGCCGCCAAAAATGTGTCTGCTTATATGCTAGCGGTATGTCTATTATTCATCCCATCCATCTTATACAATTTTTTTCCTCCTCCCACTTTGTAGCTAAAGATGGAAATTGGCGAGGGGCTTGGACGCCCCCATCCCGGATCGCATCAGAATGCTTACTTTTTCGGAACAAGCTATCAAGCTACTACCAGTAGCGTGGGAGAGAGCCAGCCAATACAGACCGAGCCCCAAGCAAAGGCCCAAGCCAGAGGGCCGGAGGATAGCCGATCATCTGCGTCAACTGGCTGGGTGTGCTGGTTGCTGGGCGGGATGCTTGGCTTCCGCAGGGAACCGCTCTGTATTAGCAAGGTGTATTTATAGATGGAGTGCGTGGAGCTTGCGGAGCAGTTGAAGAGTTGTGGGAGATGACTAGGTATTACCGGTTTCGCGGCTCTATCAGTAATCACATCTATGCAGTCTGGTTTCTATCCAACGACTATGAACAGAAGCAGTGTAGAGACAGATGGAAATGAAGAGCAAAAAAGCACAACGACTGCTTAAAACGAAGGATCCGGAGAGGGGAAGAGAAAAACGCTGCGAAACATGTTTTCCGGTCTCGTGTTTCCCGCCGTTGGTTGGTTGGCAGCAGCAAAACAACCACTAACTGTTGTTGATACAATGCTAAATTTGGACACTCCCCTTTTTTCCCTAGTGCGCCGCCTCCGCGTCTTTCTAGCGCTCAACTGTCTTTTGTATCCCTCAGACCTTTAGCTTGTGGGATCGGTACTTTGTGAGCCTGCGCCCTGTCGGGCTGCGGCTGATGATCCCTGCGCCTGTCCTGTTTCTTCGCTTACCAGCTCAAAGTGCTTATCCGTTGTCCACGGTTCTTCTCAGCATTATGCTGCAGACACCAAAAGAAAAACAACAACCAGGGAAGTATAGAGCAAAAGAGAGTCTAGCGCCCCTCGGAGCTCTGGCGAGCCGCGGCGCGTGATTGGCGAGGCACGGCAAAAGACAAGGCACGGCGAAGAAGAAGCCATGACGGATCCTTGGCTGCTGGGCTCGACTTGATGGCCCAGCCACAGGCGTGCTGGTGGGACGTTCGTCATACATCAGTCGCAAAAGTACGAGCGAGGCCTGTGGGAGAAAATAGCACCCTGGCTGGGCTCGAAGCTTTAGACCGCGGTGGACTTTTGGGCGCTGGGCGCTGCCCTAGTGCTGGGGATGGCTGCATGCTTGTTCATAATAATAGCAGTAGCTTCGGATGCTAATGCTGCGAGACCAAGGCACGAGCAAATCCGTTCCTGTCTCTTTCGTTTTGGATTTCTTTTCCGTCTCCCTGGTACTGCGGCTCTTTTTTTTGTGCAAGTTCCCGTCATAACGCGCCGCCGCTTCACTCACTCACCTACTCTCATCTCTCATCTCACATCTCATTCCATCATTACTGTACTCTCTCTCCCTCTCCCAATCTCTGTGCCTTTTCACGGCTCCATCTGCGATACCACCCTCTCGATACGTACTTGGCAATAATACGGCTCTGAATCTGCATCTGGCCGACTTGTGCGACCGCCTCTTGCATGCTCGGTACCTGGCCAGCGAAACAGCACGACCGACGCCCAATTCGCTGCTCTCGCTGATAATTCAGACAATTCCTCCTCTCTCCTCTCTTTTCGTGCGCACATTACTTTGCTTGTTGGACCGATACGAAGCGTAAAGGGTGCATGCAGAAACGGGAAATTGGAGGGCATACGCAGCAGGCATTGATCCTACGCCAAACCAACAAGCACATTATCGTGCATACAGAAAGCGAATAGACACGGCAGGGGGGTGGAGCAAGTCCGCAAGCACATCAAACCAACACGGCGCAGACACAGCTGGAGAGAGGACTACAAAGCAATTCATAACACGAGAAAAAGGAAGAAAAGAAAGGAAACGAAAGGGAAACTCCAACGGAAAAAGAAACGAAACGATATAAAAAGACGCCACGCCACAGCAGCAGCAATGGCTCGCCGACGCTGGTGGGCTTCCACGCCTCTCCTCGTCCTCTCGCTCCTCACTCCAGCTGCCGTCGCCACGGTCTTTCCCGACTTCTCCTTCTACCCATCCGGCGCGCAGCCGTGTCTCAACCAGGCCGGCGCCACATCCGAGTGCAGCGGCGCAACCGTTGCAGACCTGAATAACTGCCTATGCGGCAACGTCAACAACTTCATCATCCTGGCAGCTACGTGCATTGGCAAGAATGATTCGAGCGATACGGTGTCAGTGTATCAGACGCTGGTGTCTGCGTGCGCGACCTCCAACACGCCGCTGGTGATTGCGCCGAACCAGTTCTACGCGGCGGCAAGTGGGAAGCCCTGGACGACAACGATAACAACGACAACGACAGCAGCAGCTTCGACTACAACGACGGCGGCGACGACGACAACTGATGCCTCGACAACGACGAGTACAACGACGAGCTCGAGCTCGAGCACAGCCTCTGCCGTGCCCGCCGGGAGTCTGTCGACGGGAGCCACCATCGCCATCGCCCTCGGCGCGTCCTTTGGCGGCGTCGGCGCCATCGCCGGCCTCGTCTACTTCCTCCTGCGACGGTCCAAGCAGCAGGGCGAGGAGTTCCACCCGATGCTGCCCCACGGCGAGGACGGCCGCCAAGGCATGCCGCTGGCCATCTCAGCAAACGACCCCATGCTGCAGCCGACGGTCTCGCCCGGGACAACGGGCGGCAGCTTCTCCTCCGAGGTGAAGCATGCCTCGTGGGTGTCGCCGCTGCAGAGCCCGGATCCGTACCGCTACTCGGCGGCGTCGGTGTATGATCCGAATCAGGGGGTATATCAGGGGCCGTACGCGCCGCCAGGGCCGATCGTGGAGCTGCCGCCGGATAGTAATCTTAATGCTAGTCATAATACGGAGGGCATGGTGTTTGAGATAGACGGCCGCTCTCTTCATCAACATCCTCCTCCGACGATGCTGGCTGAGGTGCCGGGAGATGTTCCGTCTGTGCCACGACCGGGAGGGAGGTGACGGCCGCGAAAGGAGATGAGCTAAAAAAAAGGAATGAGCTTTGCTTAATTTAATTATATTCTTTTCTCTGAACTGTATTTTACTCGTTCAACCTCCATTCTCAGCTGGGAGTCATGATTGTTTGATTGGATCGGATACTCTTTTTTTCTTCTCCTATCTGCGAGGGAGAGGCCATTTCATTTTATTTCATCACGGGGGAATATCCGGCCGATACAAAAATGGGCTGGAGGCGTTTTGTATTTCATCTGTTTATACATTTACTTCTATTTTGGCATATCGGTGATTTGTGCATTGCATTGCATGGGATTAGCCTGGTTCGGTCTTTGATTTTGCGATGATTTGGTGGAAGTGAAAGAGAACATGCATAAATAAAAAAAAATATTGAATAAAAAAAAAGGTCATTGCTACATACATCGAGACAGCCTAATTGGTGATGTTAATTCTTGGCAGACTTATCGGTTGGGCTGCGGGTACCGCGGGGTTGATGGAATGTAATCCGTCTCGTATTATTTATTTATTACCTGGGAATTGAGTGATCAGAAGAGGCAATAGCAATAGAGATGAATATTTAAGAATCTTATGGGCGGAAGTCAATCTTGGGCGCCGAGTTTAAATCCTGTACTAGATTGCAGCCAAGTAGCTTCGACAAGCAATTGATGACTTGTGCTTGCAAGAGGTATAGTAGTAGTAGATACTGTCTGTTATCTAATTCTGGATAATTCCAATCAGTGATGTGCTTCTGCCACTCAAGTCAAGCACCTCCAATTGATAACCAAAAGCGTTCCCACTATCAAAGGGCCCATATTGGGCTCTACCTTTTTTTTTTTTTTAGCATGTGCTTGTCCGTCGGGTAGATTTATTGCGCAGTTGGCTCCGGAGCTCTGCGTTGATGCAACCCCCCCGCATTTTGGTTTCTTTCCCGCGCCGTATCTCATCTCATCTCAGTTTTTTTTTTTAAATCTTATTCCCATTGAATCATTTGACGAGATGGCTTCAGAACAGAAATACGTCCTCATTACAGGGTATGTGTCACACTGTATGATTGACTCTTGCATGGCCGAAGAGCGAGTGTCTAATGTAAAGCCGTGATGTAGCTGCTCGCCGGGAGGCGTTGGCAATGCGTTGGCTCGAGAGTTCCACCGGAGGGGTAAGTCAATGCCAAATGCAGCAACGTCTCGCGTTGCTCAGCATTACGGCCAACTTGTGAGATCCGTGCTGACGTGCTTCTTTCTGTAGGGCTTCATGTCATTGCCACGGCTCGCAATCCAGATGTGCTCAAGGAGCTGGAATCCATGGGCATGAGCGCCGTCCAGCTGGATGTCACCAGCCAAGACAGCCTCAACCGGGCCAAGCACGATGTTGCCCAGATCACCGGTGGCCGACTAGATATCCTGGTCAACAATGCGTGCGTCCATGTCTTATATCTGTCCAGCTCTTGATTCTGCATCTTCACATGTACATGTGCTAACGAAGGAGAGACTGTTGTTAGTGGCCGCACTCACACCATCCCGGCCCTCGACATCGAGATTGACGATGTCCGCCAGACCTATGAGACCAACGTCTTCGGCCCCATGTTCACCGTCCAGGCCTTTGCCGACCAGCTCATCGCCGCACGCGGCCTCATCGTCAACATCTCCTCCACCAGCTCCGTCAGCTCTTACATCTTCGGCTCCGTCTACGCCTCGTCCAAGGCCGCCATCAACGGCTGGTCTCGCATCCTGCGCCTCGAGCTGCAGCCCTTCAACGTCCGCGTCATGGTCGCCATGGCCGGCACCATCAAGTCCCAAATCACCAGCCACGGCCACCGCTCGCTGCCGACCACGTCGCTGTACAGGCCGGTGGACGACTACTTCCAGAAGCGCCTGGTCTTTAGCCAGAACAATGCCACGATGCCGACAGAGGTCTTTGCCAAGAAACTCGTGTCTGCTGCGCTCAAGGGAGAGGGCTGGTTTGGAGGACTGATTGGAGGGACGCCGGACTGGTTCTGGGCGGGAGGATTGTCGACCAAGGTGTGGCTGACGACTTTGGTTCCCAACAAGCTCGCCGAGTGGGCATTTGGTGTCTTTTTTGGGATTTCCAATCTGAAGAAGCGTCTTACCGAGGCACGGCAGAAGCAGGCGTAGAGTCAGTGAGAAGGGAAGATGGTAGCATTCGACGGCAAGGAATTAGTTGCAATATTGGAGGGCTGATTGTTGGCTGCAGGGATGGTATCGGTTGTCAAGCATCTCTTTAATCTAATATACGCCACAAGTATTGAATCTGGTTGTGTCATGCGGTGTCAAGTCTATTTCTCGTATTGAGTTGTGAGTGGCGCTTGTCAACTCCAAAATTGCTTGCCTTTGTACATTGCTCTGCGCCGTGTAAATGCTTGAATCGCCATGGCGGAATGCAATGCCTAATTTAAATCTTTTACTATAAAATTGATATCAAAATTTACAACAAGCCTAATCGATACGCAAAATTGCTACCATGGCATCCCCTTATTGTTCGCGACAAACCATGGCGGCTAGGCAGCGGCCTACTAGCTTGCGGCTGAGGCATCAGCACCGCCTCATTCTGCACCAGACGCTGTGCGCCTGCGGAAGAGCCTCAGGCTATTGCGAATTAATCTTCGTCTTTCTTGTATAGGAAATTTCGGGACTGAGTCAACGATGCCGCTTTCTGTATCGGAGCGGCGTGACTCAGTGGAGACTCCTGCCGAGAGTCGCCTCCGGCTAATAGGCTTTGTTATTGTTTACTCACTTCTCATAATATGGCAGGTATAAGTATATATACCTGGTCTCAGTCGCAATGAACCAGTTGAAGCATCTTGTATCACTTCTGATATCACCATTGTTGCTTTTGTAACATCCTGGCCACAGGTCCTCTTTACAATGGCGCAGGTGGTATCAACTGATGCGGCCCGCCGCTCATTCGATCTCTTGCTGCTCACCGATGCTACTTCATCCATGGGAACATTTGTGGAATCTTTGAATCGCAGTCTTCCGGAGATCATCAGCATATCTGCACTTACAGGATGTTTCGAGAGAATAGGGGTTCTCGCCTATCGCGACTATTGCGATTCTCCCCTCACCGAGTTCTCCGGCTGGTGCTCGCCTGCGGGCAAATATCAAAGTGCTGACCTGGTGTCGCAAGATGCTGTGCTGGACATGGCACGCAAGATGATGCCGACTGGAGGCGGCGACTGGCCAGAGGCTGCAAAGACAGGCCTGGCAAAGGCATACGCTGCCATGAGGCCAGAGGCAACAACAATCGTCTTGCTCTTTGCGGATGCCCCTCCTCATTTCAAGGAGACAGATGACAACAACTACCGTATGGAGAAGGCGGCGCTCAGCAACAAGGCCAAGTTTGGAGATGATGGCAAGCTATTTGTGGACTGGACGTCGGCCGCAAAAACCTTTGCTACGGGTCCCAAGAAGGCTGTCGTTTTCAGTGTTATCCAGCAGGGCACTGTCAATGTACACTCGCCCTTTCTATATCTATCTACAGTCACAGGAGGAAGCCTTTTTGAGATTCTAGACATGGCCTCCGACAAGATCTCTCAGTTGACCATTGGTATCTTGCTTACCTGGATGAGACTTGGCAAGACAAATACCAATGCAGAGGCCAAACTGGGATACCTGACGCAGTATATATCCCATACTGACATATTGGCGGCCAACAACGAAGAGGATCCAGTACTACGAAAGTATGTCGCCAGAGGTCACTTTTCACGCACTCCAACTGTTCAGCAGTGTATCAATAATGTCAAAAGTGAGGATGTTACTCTCGCCGAATTGCCTGGTCTTGTGAAGGCCCGCGGCCCAAAGGTTGAGAGCTTCGCCGACAAATACAACAACGACCCAGGTTACAAGTCTATGGCCTTCAGTCAGCTCCGACTCATCATCCAGAGCAATGTGTCGGCAATATCCCTAAACCCTATATTCGGGAGCCTATGGCGAGCTGCCTGCAATGACAGGCTAAACCCCGCAAGGGACGAGCTCATTTCTCTATTTGGCCTCCAAGTAGACAGGATTTCAAATGCAAATGAGAAAGCTCGTATGAAGGCTTGGCTTGCCGAGTCTTACAACTACGTCGATGACATTAACGATATGATCAAGGCTGTTGCTCCTGAAGATCGCTTTCCGATGCTGTTCTTGGACCCTACAGCAGACTTTGGGTTCGTGGAAGATGCTGACGGAGATGGACGACGGTTGCAAGATTTCACTCGAGCGGAGTTGCTTGAAATTGGAAGATCATGCGACTACAAGATTCTCCGGCGCTTGGGAAAGGTGCTGACCCGTCTGACTTTTGTTCGCTCCAAGGAGGAGCTTCCTCATCATATTAAAACAATGGATCCCAAGGCGTCCGTTGCTTGCGTGCCTCTAGCCCTTGCAAAAGAGCAATATGGTCGAGAGTTTTGGAAGATACTCTTGCATGCTGTTCTCCCAGGCACAAAGCTAGGTGCTCGCCCTGCCTCTCTGCTTGCTGCGCTTGCTCTTCGCATGGGCATTGTTCCCCTGCGTGATGCAGCTGACCAGGCGCTTATCGCGTTTAGTGCCAACTGGAATACGTTGGACGTCCCGGAAACATGGAACATGGGGTGCCTCAATCTCTTGCTGGATGCCGACAAGGACTACGAGAAGAGAGTCGCCGAAGGTGTGACTACCAGAGCTTCGGAAGAGGCTAGAATTCTCTCAGCCAAGGACCGCGATACTTTCAAGGCCCTGGTGGATTACAAGATGCTAGAGCTAAACCTGGATACTGCTCTCGAGGCACAAATCACTTGGACTCCACATAAGACCAAGGTAGCTCTGGGTCCGCTCGTCATTTGCAAGAAGTGCAAGTTCCCTCGCTCTGTTACCGTGATGGCCGCAAAAGGTGTCTGCGGCTTGTGTGATATCGAGAGCGACGACTGCTCTTGTTCCGCGTGTGCCGTTGTAGAAGGCCATGAAGAGCGCAAGAAGGTCAATGTGTCCAAGGATCAAACAGAGCAATCGGAAGCATACTGGGTCGAATGCGGGCAGACCTCTTGCAGAGCCCAGTACGTAGTTTATAACCAGAATGAACTGCGCGTACGCCCCAAATGCTATTATTGTCGACATGCTGGCCGAAGCTCTAAGAAAGCATTGGAAGGTGTCCGGAAAGATGTCGGACTGGCTCCGACGGTTGAATGCACCAAATGTCTGGGTCGAGTCATTTGGCCAGAGGAATATCGACCTGATGAACTCGATATGGCGGCCTACCAGTGTCTTGCTTGCGTCGCCGGCAAAAAGACAATTGTTGGAGAGGAGACTACTGCACGAAAGCTGAGCAGTGAGAATAGCTGGGACTGGCTTCTCAAGAATGAAGATAAGACGATCAAGGATCCTTTCAATGGTCGGACAGTCTTTTATATCGCATCCAACAGCAATCTCGACGACCTGGATACCAAGGTGGAGATTCTTCCTTCGGCCAACCAAGATGGTTTTACCATCCGTGGGAAGCAAGTGCGCAATCCCGATGAAATCAAGGCGTCTCTCCTAAACTGGGTGAGCTCACGGCGAGCCGAATCGGCCACTTGCAGCCTCTGCTTCTCCGACATTCGAAAGAGCGATGCTCTTCCGGCTTGTGGGCGTTCGGGTTGCCATCAGCTTATCTGCGGTAGCTGTCGCGACAGCTGGTATGGCATCAACTCTCCCGGCAGTATCCTCAACATACCCGCCCTTCATTGTCCCTTTTGCCGCCGGCGCCCTGCCCCCAAGGCTATTAGCAAGTATAGACTGCAACAGATTGGCAATCTTCGGGCTGCCATGGATGATGCTGGCTCGTGGATATACGCCTGGTGTAAGGACTGTGGCTTTGCTAGGCAGTACGTGGAGAGAGTATGTGCTGCTGGAGCTCCTGCTGAAATAGCTGACTGGACGTGCGAAGAGTGTAATAAGCCCGATGTGGTGGTGAAGAAGAAGCGCATTCGGTGCTGTCCTGGCTGTGGCGTGGCGACGGAGAAGACGTATGGGTGCGATCACATCAGTTGTCCTTGTGGAACTCATTGGTGTTATGCATGCGGAAAACAAAGTGATGAGATTTATGTCCACATGGAAAGGGAGCATGGAGGGATTGGTTGGGGAGCTGAGACGGATGATGATTATGAGGAGGATTGAGAAGTATGGCCATGTCTGGTAGTATCATTCATCTGTAGCGAGATGTACGTATTTATGTTAGCCTATGCGACTCTTTGAATCAACCTACACCATAATTCAGATTATGACTGTGACTCGTGATTGAATATTGTATTCGCAAGCGATGAGAGCTCTTGATATCCTATTTGACCATTGCTTGCTTGGGTTGTTATTCATTGCTTCGCTGACTGTATCCTTGCATAATCAAGATTTCCGTTTTTGGCAACAGGAGCTTTTAGTGGCGACGACGCCCACAAGGTACCTGTGCTTGTACCTTGTCTCCCCACTGTACGCATGTACATGCTGTCTGTCGATCGTACACACGCTGATGTAAACTGTTTCAGCTTGCTTCGCCTCACATGCTTTTGGGCACCTGCTTGATCTGCCCAACTCCCGTGCTCCTCCTTGCATCATCATGAAAAAAATTAGGCAGATGAGCTTTTGATTCTCGTTTTAGCGACAGTGACTTGTTTTGAAGTCGAACCAAACGCCGATCTAGACACCCAAAACCACCTGAACACGAACCAAGCCTCTCAGCGCTCTGGCAGCAGCTTTACTGGGTTTACGTCCTCACGCCATGTCTCGATTCTCTCGCTACGACACCGACGAAGAACGCCTTCCCGAGGGCATGACCCGCGTCGGATACGATGCCGACACGCAGGTCTACACTTTTCGGGACTCCGACGGCAGTTACTGGGAGTCGGCGCCGGGTTCTCAATATGGACGCCTGACGAGAGTCGGATCCGGCCCAGCCGACGATGGTGACGACGACGACGACGACTCGGATCCGTTCCTTGCGGGCCAGGCCTCGGCGCAGAAGGTTTCGTGGCGGCACGACATGATGCCTTTGTTGAACTTTGGCGTTTTGGTCGGGCTGTCGCTGCTTGCTCTCTTTTGGTTTATTGGACGCAAACCGCCGGGGGAGAAGCTGGAGATTGTTACCTGTGAGAAGAGCGTGATAATAAAGGAAAATGACAATTGCTGGGATATCGGCCAGGCTAATAATATCTCGGTTGATGAGATATTGGCTATGAATGAAGGTTTGGATTGCGCCAAGCTTACAGTTGGGCATACTATTTGTCTTGAGAGGGAAATGGATGACAGCTTGAAGGAGACGGTATCGTGATGTCGTTGTGGGTTTTGGATAATTTGTTGACTTGACATACACGTCCAGACACAGCCTTTGCATCGTTTTCTTCGCTCTTCGTCTCTGCCATGATCCTTATATGAAGCGAAATGGTAGCACAACTTTTATTGGCAAGCGAGGAGACAAGGCTGCATGCATGCAAGACTCTCGGTCAGATTAGATGTGAAAGCTGCTGCTAAAAGGTGATTGATGTTACATGCTGAAACTAGGATAATTTGCTTTGTTGTGGCTCTGCGTCGTATTTGGGCTTGGACTTTAGTTGTTCTTATCACTTTGTGCAATGCTATGGGCGATACAGGTTGGTTATATATCAACGCAGATCGCCAAGCAATCACATACCAATGAGTAGATAGTATCTATGCTGCTGCTAACAGCCCAATCATTTTTCGTTGATACTTCAATTGCTGGCTCCTGCATATGAATGAGAAAACTTGGCTTAACTATACAACCTCGCGCTCCGTCTTTCTAATTATCGGCTACCCCCTCATGTGCTTCTAGGTGCACAGACGTGAAGCAAAACCCTAGCACCAACAGATCTCACGGCCAGAATCACTGAATTATTTTAGACTATAATGCAGACTTCAACCCTCTACTATTTACGATACAACTCTGTACCATGAACCTCAACGCGTATAATATTCCAGCGACGTCGTATATGAACAAATCTTCAAATATGAATGAGAAGATCGTCGCTATCCAAGAAAGACTAACGCACGCCAACATTCAGGTGGATGAGATCTGCAATTCATCAGGCGTCCCTGGTGCTTCTATTGGAGTTATCCAGAATGGCGACATGATCCATACTTATAACTTTGGGTACAGAGATGTGGAGAAGCAACTGCCCACTACCTCTGATACTGTCTACGGCATCGGTTCGGTTACAAAATCTTTCATCGTTGCTGGACTTGCCAAGCTGGTCGAGGAGGAAAAGCTCGCCTGGGATACTCCTGTGCGAGATATTCTGCCAGAGTTTGGGCAGGAAGACGCCTATATTGCCGAGACGCTCACCATCGCCGACATACTATCGCATCGCAGTGGGCTAGCTGGATTTGGAGATATGAACCTAGCTTTTCAGGGCGATGGCGATATGCTATTACCCAAAGAGAGCCTGTTCTCCATTGTAAAGCAATTCAAGCAATTATTCCCTATTCGCACGAACTGGAGCTACTTTGTCTGGGGCTACGCATTGGCAGGAGCAATTATCGAGAAAGTCACCAACCAAAGTGTGAGCAGCTTTATTTCTGAAACGATTTTTGAACCCCTGAGCCTCAATAGTACAACCTTTGATCCTAGTTCCGTGGATCCAGCCAAGTTTGCTGAGCCATACTCTGGACTGGAAGATGGTACACCTTATCATTTGAGAAAGATACAAGTCTTTAAAGACACATTTTTCGAGGCCTCAGGCGGAATATATTCGAACCTTGATGATATGATGAGCTGGTCTAGAGTAATGTTGGATACAATCCACGCTGTACCGGGAACACAAGGGTTGGTTGTTAAACAAATTCAAGAAATTTTGAGCAACCATATTGCCATTGAGAATCCTTCTTTAAGAGAACGATCTTATGGCTACGGATGGATTCGAACCCAGCTCCCTGGCGCTGTCGGTTTGATAGGAGACAACTCGGGACTATGGGACATAGAAGATAGCCCGGTTCTTGGTACACTAGACCAACCACTCTTTATGATTTACCATCAGGGAAGCACCGTTGGCTACTACACCTTTATAGCCTTATTCCCTGATAGTAACTCTGCTGTGGTGGTTCTCACCAATTCTATCGCGATTAGTGATGCAGCAGATTGGATCGGCAGAGTCATTATTCAAGCATTGTTTGATCTCAAAGATAATCACAACTACGCCAAATTAGCCAAAGAAGCCAACAAAAGAGTTGTCAAAGGTTATGAAGACATGAACAAAAAAAGGGACAAGTTGAAAAACATGATACGAGCAATACCTGACTTAACACCTTTTATTGGTAGATACAGGAATGCAAACAAGCCTTTCTTTATTGATATTATGATGTCAGAAGAGAACAAGTCGGAACTTCTATTCCAATTTCAAGGGCTCAGAGACCAAACTTACAGACTTCGGCATCTATATGGCAATGTCTTTGAATGGGCGCTAACACATGATGAAGCTAAAAAGAGAGGTAGATATTCTAACGCAAACTTGGAGACATATTTATTTGACTTTGAGGTGGATACGTGTAGCGAGGTTACTTCATTCTCATGGTTAACAGATCTTACCAAACCAACGAAAGAGATATTTTTAAAAAGCAATGTATAATAATCCAAGGACCTTTAATGCAATCCCAGCTCGCGATATAGGATAATAGCTGTCAATTTAAGCCGTCCGCTAAGTTCAATTACTTCAACCCCAAGCCGAAATTATTTCCAAGCTTGTTTGGATACGCAACCCGGTCTGGGTGGTTGTGAGGCGCGGCGTTGACTGCATTACTGAACACACTAATTACTTAACCTAAATCACCCATCGATCCTCTTTATTTAAATCACCTGCTAAGCCAATTTCTAAGGTTGGTCAGACAGGCAGTATGGTGCGGGTGGCCATGAGGCATTCTATTAACTGCATCTCTTGCCGCACTAACTCCCCGATTTAAGTCGTCTATCGATCCTATCTGATCAAATCGCAGGCTTAGCAAAGCGCTAAGGTTGTGTAATTGCATCCATTGAAGCGGGTGGTCGTGAGGTGTGGCATCCACTGCTTTATTGATCATGGTAATAACTTGATCTATGTCATCCATTGATCCAGTCTGCTCCAACCGAACGCCGAGCACTTGTCCAAGGCTGCCTACAAATGCAGCTTGTTGCGGATTGTCATGAAGTACAGCATCTACTGCATTTCTTGCAATGCCAATAGCTCGATCTAAGTCAGTCATTGATCCTGTCATCTCAAATCGATCGCTGAACAAAATCGCCAAGGAAAGAGACATAAAGGGGGGAATAGAATCGCCTGCTATACTCATTGCCAGCTCTCCAGTTTCAATAGCCTCTTCTAAATCTTCAAGGCGGCCGTGTTGCTTGAAAGTCTCATAAAGGCTTAATTCTCTTTCCCTTAAATGTTCAAGTTGGATGCTAATCTCGTCAGTTGCGGGCTTTTCTCTACCCCTACAATTGCTTAGTATTATTTTTGCTTCGCTTTTTGAAGTCTATAGTGCAACTCACGGTTCTTCCAAAGCCATATCTTCAATATCTCCCTTTATGGCCTGACACGGGTGGCCCCGAATAGTTACTGTATTCAAAAGGCTGTATCGCCGATTGTAATCTGGATGGCTTGAAGGCGTCACCGCCACCCATTCCTCCACCAATTGTATTGCTTTCTCAAGATGTTTCGTATCTTTCGACTTTTGAAAGTGCAGAAAGTGTAGGTAGATGTAAAGCTCGATCTCGTCATCGTTTATAGGATCCTCATGCAATTCTGCAACAAGGGCCTGGATATCTTCCTCGCTTGCTTCATTGCAGAAAGACTTTAGTTTTGCATCTATATGAAATTCTTCCGTATCCATAATAGTGAGCGAGATAAAAGTAGAATAATAAAAGACGTAGTATATTCAGAGAAAGTTCAGACAGTACCTTTTCGAGAAATTTAGAAATATCGCTGGGGTACCTGACTTATATGATAATAATTCACCCCCTCCATAAGCACCTTTAATGCAAGGGGCGTTCTTAGACAGCCATGTCTCTCAGCCCCCTATGCTAAATATAGATACCCAACAAAGCAAGGTTGATGCCTTACCTCATGCCCCAATATACGCATACTTTGGTGAGTTTTATTGGGTATTTTGTAACTACCTAATGCTTGAAAAAGCAGGTTGCAGCTTGATTTTCAATTTGCGATATAATATCTGACCTAAGTTTTGCCTTACGAGGTGTTGGATTGTAACAATATACACCATGGCCGCCTTGTAGCCCTACTAGGAATAGCAGCCTAAGAGCTTGTTTAACAAGCCACCCACTCTAGCCCTTACATATACTACTATTCTGGGAAGCCTGATTCACTGTTTCATTCATGTATAGAGAGGGCTTGTATGTAATCATGATATGGATATGAGAGATGGGTAACTCGGTGTAATTTATTATTAGAACGACCAAGACGTCCAGTAACATTGTCTGAGAAAAAGCCACAGACTTCTCCTTACAGAAAGAGTGCTTGGCGACTTTTTGACTACTTAGAGCCTTGATACGCAGTGAAGTATACACACGCATAGTACCCTGGGTATAGTGTGGCCCATTGAGCTGGTAAGCACCGTTATACAAGATAGGGGAAAAATATTTACAGACCGTTATTCTAAATACAATGCATGGAGAAGACTGCGCTCGAACTTTCCAAAATCCTACATCTCCAAATAATACGCGGTAGGTGTTGTATGGTCTACCGAGCTAATCTGCAATATAAAGTCTAGGGGGGCTAATTCAGACATGCGACAACCAGGCGACTTAGCTGTTAGCAAAGACATTGAAACTTCCACTAAGATAAATTTAATTCTTGTTAAAAAATGGGGTTATGTCCTGCTATTAGATAAAGCAGACATTTGAATTCCCTATAGAGACAAGGTACAGTTCGCACGGTTGTAGCGGGTAAGTAGATTGCGCGCCATGCTATCCAAAGACAGACTGTACGGACTTTATGCGTTTTCTTAAGCACTAGTCTAGAAATTATTTTCCTGAAGACGAATTGAATCGGCAACTTCATGAAGATTTCACATCGCGTATCCACACAAGAACCTCTACAACCCAGAGTAACAAAACTATCGAGATTTCTAATATTAGTATCAACCTTATGGAAGCTCAATTTAAAATTTATGAAACGTATCTGGTTACGAAAGCATCATGACTTTTCTGGTTTGCATTTTTGGTATTATAAATCATTCACGCTGGTGTGGACGTCAAGTATGCAATCGTGTCGGACTGCTTTGGCTTTGTTGGAGTATCAGCTCAAAAGAACAGAATAGCAACATTACTGGTCATGATTCAATAGCTACGACTAATTTCACCGCTAAACATTTCGAAATTATGCGCAATGCTTACCCACAGCACTTTTTACTGAAGTGACTTCCATGGTGCCAGTACATCTCACCTCACTGAGGAGAAATCTTACGCGCAAAAAGACATATCGCGAAGAACGGGATATAACTCTTATAACGGAACAATTCTACAGATATCTTATAAAACGATGCCCAAACCAGAGCAACGATCGACCGACAAAATGTGCAACAGAGAAATTTATAATGTGACTCGAGAAGATCTACCGCAAGGGATTCAATAAATTTCATCATTTAATAAATCGCACCAACACCAGCGTCGTGCATGGCCGCAAAAATTGTCATAGCCATAGCCCGCAGTGCAGCAGCAACATTTACGTTTAGGGGGAGAACCAATTCTCGAATTTCGGAATACTAGTCAGCGGGAAAGAGAGCGACGGCCGAACCAACAATTTGAAGGCTTTGAAGGGCACTCTAATATGCCAGAATCTCATGAGACGACATATACCAAGGAGCAGATGACTCTGACTCGCTTCAGGGAGCAAAGTACTCCAGTGCTCAACTCTAACATAAGAAGGCGAGATTTTAGTCTCCTGGACTGGAAGAGGAGGTGACGCTGCGAATCATCACAAACGTATTCAGATTGGGCTGCTCGTGGGATGGTCAAAACCACAGCCATTTGTTATCGAGCTAATTCGAGTAGCTCACAGTCTACGGTTTAGACCTTGACCTTCTCCATCCTTATCATAGCTTTAGCTTCCAGATAACGATAACGCTCGGCGGTAATAATTCGGCGCCAATCGCAGCCTGTAATTTCGAAACTGGAGACGACCCCTCGGTCAAGCGGGGCAAAAAAAAAGTCCCTGCTTGGCTGGAGTATCGATATTAATTTTTTTTTTTCCCCTCTAGGCGGGATACATAATAAAATCTTTTCCACACCACCTTGTCTTTTCTTTTTCTTCATCTTTTGCATTTCTCTTGGTCGCTGAGCTTCCAAGCGAATAGTCAGGATGGACAAGGATAAGCTCGCTCAGTTGTTGCAGGCCAGCCAAGTTCGTAAGTCTTTTCTTGCATTGTTGTTTATTTATCTGCTTCTCGTCGCAGCGCGCGCACGACGCCCCAGATGTAAATCTTGGACAGCGAGACGTGAATGTTATTCTCGTGTGAAAAAAATCTTTCAACTAACTCTCTGCCTTCTATAGCCAACACGGAACAGGTCAAGGCTGTCACGGCCGACCTCCAGAAGAACTACTACTCGAAGCCCGAGTCTCTTCTGGCGCTGATCGAGATCGCTCTTACAAACGCAGACAATGCTGTCCGACAGCTGGCCTCTGTCCAGGCCCTGCGCCTTGTGACCAAGTTCTGGAAGCGAACCGCCCAGGACCAGAAGCCTCTTGTCCGCTCACACCTTCTTGAGGGCACTCTGAAGGAGACGTCCGCCGCCAACCGCCACTCTCTGGCGCGTCTGGTTGCCGGTATCGTGGGCGAGGATATGGAGCAAGGCGACGGCGAGGACTTCCTGGCCCAGCTCCTGCCCCTCAACACCAGCGACAATGTCGTCCACCGCGAGGTTGGCTCATTCGTCCTGTATGCCATGCTCGAGGACGATCCTGCGCACTTCAGCGACCACACGGATCAGCTGCTGCAGCTCTTCCAGGCTCGCATCAACGACGACAGCAAGGAGGTCCGCATGAACATTGTCCGTGCTATTGGTGCCATCCTCATGCTCGTTGACCCCGAGGAGGACCCCCAGGCTCTCAAGCTCATGCAGGGATTCGTCCCCAGCTTGGTCAACATTCTCAAGGCCACAGTCGAGGCCGGAGACGAGGAGAGCTACGGTGCCGTCTTTGACGTCTTCCACTCCTTCATCGCCTACGACTCTGCTCTTCTCAACGTCCACCTGCGTGACCTGCTCATGTTCATGATTGAGCTTGCTGGCAACACCAACGCTGAGGATGATCCTCGTTCCCAGGCCCTTGGCTTCCTCATCCAGACAGTCTCTTTCCGCCGCATGAAGATTCAGGCTATGAAGGATGTCGGTGCTGAGCTCATGGTCAAGGCCATGCACATCGTCATTGATCTGGACTCTGAAGATGAAGAGGACATGTCCCCTGCTAGAGTGGCCATCAGCCTGATTGACCAGTTGGCCAACGAGCTTCCTCCCCGCCAGGTCGTTGTGCCCCTTCTTGAGCAGTTCCCCGTGTTTGCCACCAACCAGGACCCGCGCTACCGTATGGCCGCTATGCTGGCTCTAGGCAATGCTGCTGAGGGTGCTCCTGATTTCATCTCCACCCAGCTCCAGCCTCTTCTCCCCACCATCATCAACTTGCTCTGCGACTCTGAGACCAAGGTCCGACATGCTGCTTTGGTCGGTCTCATCCACCTTGCCGAGGAGATGGCCGACGAGATGGTTTCACACCACCAGCAAATCATTGAGGCTGTCCTGAAGAACCTTGAGTCAGCTTCCCAGGGTCCTTCTGACAAGACCAACATCAGCATTATTCGATGCGCCTGTGGTGCCCTCGATACCTTCGGTGATGGTATTGACACCAAGATCATGGCTCAGTACGGCCCTGCCCTGATCGGCCCCATGGTTAAGCTGCTTGACCACAACGACTATGGTGTCAAGGCCGCCGCTGCTAGCGCCCTCGGCGCTATTGCTGCTTCCATGGAGAAGGACTTCCAGCCCTACTTTGAGAATGTCATGAAGTCTCTCGGCAACTTTGTCATGATCAAGGACAGCGAGGATGCCATGAACCTGCGAAGCGCCACTTGCGACAGCTTGGGGCGCATTGCTCTGGCTGTTGGCCCTGAGGCCTTCCAGCCCTATGTCATGGATCTGATGAAGGCCAGTGAGGAGGCTCTCGGCCTTGACAACCCCAGACTCAAGGAGACCAGCTTCATCCTCTGGTCAAACCTGTCCAAGGTCTACCACGAGCAGTTTGATCACTTCCTTGATGGTGTCTTCCAAGGTATCTTTTCCTCTTTGGAGCTTGAAGAGGAGGAGCTTGATATCCCTGGCATTGACCCCAGCCAGCTCGACGATGGCCACATTGTCATTGGCGGAAAGCGTATCAAGGTCAAGACCCCACAGAGCGAAGAAGATCTTACCATTGCCACCGGAGGCGAAGCTGAAGATGAGTGGGATGATATCGAAGATCTCGCAGACCTCGCTGGCGGCACCACTGCCGTCGCTATGGAGCAAGAGATTGCCCTTGACGTCCTTGGAGATGTCATTTCCAACTCTTGCAACATGAACAACCTGGAGACCTATGTCGAGAAGACCATTGAAAAGGTTGTGCCTTTCACCGACCACGACTACGAAGGCTGCCGCAAGACTGCCATTTCCACCCTGTGGCGCATCTATGCCCGCGTCTTCCAAGTTTGGGAGGAGGGTTCTGGCGTCAAGTGGGAGCCTGGCATGCCCCCTAAGCCCACTCCACCTGCTTCAATCGCCAAGATTGGCGAGACCCTCCACGAGGCTACCATGACTATCTGGGCCAATGATAGCGACCGGTACGTATCTTGTCTTTTCGAGCCTTTTTTCCTTTGTACCTTAACCCAATCTATCTGCATGATGACAACATTGCGTTATACCCAGCTCACTCAGATGCAAATATGCAATTGCTGAGAAAGCGTGTAATCTACTTCTGATCTGCTCTTTTATTCTCTACATTTATCTTTTGACAATAAAAAATGTGGCATTCTTGCTAACTAAGAGAATAGATCTGTTGTCACTGACATCAACCGCAACGTTGCTGCCACTCTCAAGGCTTGCGGCCCTGCAGTCCTGACTGCCAAGGATGGCATGCTGCAAGAGGTCATCTCCGTCGTTACTCTTCTCATCACTCGCTCTCACCCTTGCCAGCTGGATCTTGGCGATGAGGATGAGGAGCAAGAGGTTGAGGATGCCGGATCTTCAGAGTATGACTGGCTTGCAATTGACACTGCTCTGGATGTCGTTGTTGGCCTTGCCGCTGCTCTGGGTCCTGCTTTCGGCGAGCTCTGGAAGATTTTCGAGAAGCCCATCTACAAGATGGCCAGCTCTACCGAGGACCTCCAGCGATCGACTGCTGTTGGCACTATTGCTGAGCTCGTTAAGTACACGGGCGAGGCAATTACCCCATACACCGAGTCTATTGGACAGGCTTTGATCCGCCGACTCTCGGATCCTGATGCTTTGACCAAGTCCAACTCCGCCTACGCTATTGGTCTGTTGATTTTCAACTCCACCGATACCGCCAAGACGGTCCCTATTTACCCTCAGCTCTGGGAGAAGTTCGAGCCAATGCTGGCCATGCGCGACATGCACATTACGGATAATGTTGCCGGCGCCCTGTCTCGAATGATCCTCAAGCACGCTGATGCTGGATTTGTTGCCCAGGCCCTCCCTGCCATTGTGGCTGCCCTGCCTCTTCAGGAGGAGTACGAGGAGAACGAGCCCATTTACCAGGCCATTCACTCTCTCTACGATCAGTCCAACGAAACCGTCCAGCAGCTGACTCCTCAGCTGATTGGCGTTTTCGAGAAGGTCCTTTCTCCTCCCCAGGAGCAGCTTGAGCCCGAGACTCGCCAGATCATCTCTCAAACGGTGAAGGCGCTCTATGGAGCTAAGCCGGACCTGTTTGCCAATAACCCCAACTTGCTGAGCCTCGTTCAGTAAGGGATAAAGGAAAAGAGTTATTTGGTATTGAGGGATTTTATTGAGAGCGAACTGGTATCTTAGACGATGAAGACATGAAGACATGAACTATACCCCTTTATGATGAGTTTGGAAAAAAAGAGAAAACTGGAATGGGCCGAGGGTATATAAGGGAAACACACATGAGAAATAACAGCGTGTTTAATAGAAAAAAAGGCTGGATTGGAAAAAATGGCATAGAGTGTATATGCTCGAATATGCTGGGTTCAGAGGGAAGCGTATATAAGTTAAAAGACGGTTGGATTCGAAGGAAGTGGGTTGGCTGTGCGTTTTAAGCACTCTTTTGAATTAGCAATAGAAATATGCTTAGAGGCAAAATATGACAAGCATTAAGATGTGCGATGTATTTTTGATGATCATCAAACCAAATTGAACCATGAAATTTCTTGGGAATGTGAAGTTTGGTCTCCTGCTCCCCAAGTTCGGGTTTGGTGGGTATCTCGGTAATCGCATCAAGTTTAGGTCATCATAAGCATAAGACAGCGTTTTTGGTGGACAAATTTCATTACATCGTTCAGCTAACAAGACTCGTGAGTGGTGAAAACGACTTATCTTCATCTAGCAAGAATGGCAAAATGGTCTACTATTACGTTGAATATGGTATACTATGTACTGACGTTGATAAATAAATAAACAACGAAGTGAAGTGCGCCACCCATCGAATTACTCTTTAATCAAGGACCCAAATCCCAGTACAAAACGCCTCACCAAATCCTCTTTTCCACCATATCATATCGAAACACACCCTGGTAATCTCCCTCCACGTTTGTCGCCTTTCTATCGTCTCCCCCCTTCTTCTTCTTCCTCAAACCTTCAGTAGGATCAGCATTGATCCAGCGGCGCTTGTCTTCCGTAACTTCCACCTCTCCAAAGCCTCCCACTCGTATTCCGCTAGCCTTGTAGTTATCCCATTCTGCCTGTCCAGCGGCAACGAGGGCTTCCTTCTGCTTCATCTTGGCGTAGCGGTTGCGGGCGTACTTGAGGAGGACCATTCCAAGGAGGAGTTTAAGGATGAGGAGCACGAGGAAGACGATGAAGAAGACAACTACCATGGTGATGGCTGCAATGACATCGTCTGAGGTCCATCTGTACCAGGGGCGAGAGTTTAATGGATGGTCGTAAGGGTATCCGTAAGTGGCGCGGCCCAGAGAGTCGCGGATAAGAGTATCGAAGCGGTTGAGAGCTGCTATCATGGCGGGAGAGGAGGGCGTTGCGGATGCTTCTGTTAGAGATGTCTGGGTTGATATGGGGAGAGGCATAGGGACGTGGGCTGAGAGGAGCATGTGGTATGTTTGGATGGAGGCGCGGATAAAGAGACAGGATAGAGGGATGACAGCGAGGCCAAGTCTTCTTGTAAGAGCGGGAGCGGTGAAGGCCTGCATTGTGATGATGGATATTAGTATTTTGAGTCTCATATATAAAGCTTAGAGTAGATACTCACATTGGTGTAGTAGTCTTTGCACAAGATGTCGAGAATCCTGTTGTAAAATTTGGGTTTGATGTTGTTAAACTTGGTCACATAAGCATGCTTGATGGTATCTACCAGCATCTCGCTGCCTACAACGATGAGGAATGGCGAAAGAACCTCTCCCGACATGACCCAAGACGGGAGCACGGTAAAACTGTGAGGAAGAATACTTGCCGAGTGTAGAGGCGCCGCTTTGGTGGGAGCGTCATCACTCATACTAGCTCCTGGTACAGAGAGGCCGCCCACCTCGACAATATTGCGCATGCCGATGATGAGCAGCATGACCCAGAGATGGAAGCGCTCTACAATGTCAGCGCAGGTTAGCTGGAACAGACTATCTTTCTCAAAGCGCTTGAAGACTGTGCTTTTGATCTCGACAAATTGGTTGGATAGGAGCAAAGTAAGGAGGGCATTGGAATAGGAGTTGACGGCCACGTTGAGCGTAATAACCTGGTAATACAGGGCCACGGAATGGAGTACGCAGTAAATCAAAGCAAGCACAAACATGCCCAGCGGTAGGAGAATCTTGGACCGGCCGGACGCATTACGGGATAGGGTCTCTGAGCTAAACAGACACTCGAGGATGTCTTGTCCCAGGGCTGATAGTAGTTTATCTCCAACCTCGAGGATGTTGTACACCACGTACAGCTTGATGGCTGACTGCGCGCGGATAAGATGGTACATCCGGCTGGCGTCCAGCTTCATCAGCACAAGAGAGCTACATATGATGACGGCGCCCTGGAGCAAGTCGGCCTTGTGGAAGGACGAGAGATTGGACGGCATGGACTTTGTCCGTCGGTGCCGAAACATGCCCGACTTCGGTCCCGGATTGCTGCGAGCCGGGAGCGACGGAGTCTTGGGCCCGGCAGCATCGCTTGCGCCGCGGGCTCGCGAATCGGTACGGACCCTTACATTGGAACGTTGCCGAATGCCAGGTGATGTGCCGTCCACAGAGACCTCGCTGGCTCTACTACAGCTGCGCGATCGGGCACTGTCGGAGGCATCGCTAATTCTTCGGCCACGGACCGCTCGGGCTCGGCGCCATAAGCGACCGAGGCCGTACCAGACAAACCCAATCAGCCACTTGACTTCCTTAAAGATGACATACATCCACCACTGCACCAAGACGGCAAGGGCCATGGTGAACCTGATGGGGAGAATGGTGAAGGTGTGCAGCCAGGCATCCAGGCAAGCCAGCGCACCAAAGTACAGCGTTCGCTCCAGGAATGGGGGTATTAAGAGGACGTTCTTCAGACGCTCAAACTTGACGGCGTGAGACTCGTACGGGATGTCGTTGGTATAGGACTGGTGGATATATAGAGGGCTTGGACGCTGCTGGGCCAGTTCGAGCTGAAGGTGCGTAGGGATAGACATGGGAGGAAGCGGAATTATGGGCGGGATAGGAGATGGCGGCCGGATACCAGGGCCAGTAGGTTGGACAGGCGCAGGCTGCTGTGATGCAAAAGTTGGTGGTCCAGTCTTGATGGGCGGTGATATCACGCTTCCGTTTGTGCCTGCATTAGCGGCTCCATCCAGGTTGAGGTTCAGCCCCTGAGGCCGTGTCCCGGGAACAAACGACAGTCGCCGCGGCGGTGACGCGGGAGCCTGAATGCCAAGGCCCTGGACATCTCGGGTCGTCGGCGGCGTCGATACGGTCCTATTTGCAGACGCAGAGCGACGCATGGGAGTCCGGGCTTCTCTGGGCAGCCATCCGCTGACAGTCCGGGTCTCTGCCCCCAAGCCATTCGGCCGCTGGAATCCGTCGGCGTAGTGTGGCTCTGGCGGCCTCATCAGAGACTGTCTAATAGCCTCGCGCTCCTGGACAAAGTCTGGCGCTGGCGCAATGGGAAGCGACTTGGGCTCATTGGTCAGCTGCTGCATCTCGGCGGCGCTCAGCTTCTGGACATTGTCGTGGCTTGGAGCTCTCTTGATGGCACCGCTGCCGCTGCGCTGCCTCTGCATGTCGCCGCCAGAGTCTTTTTGCCTGAAGCTGTTGCTGCTCGATCTCCTGCTGATTGCCGGGCTTCCATTCCCGATCTCGTGCCTGTATTCATTCTCTTTATCGTGCCCATTCTTGCTACCATTCATATTTCCTTTTCTGCTCCCATTTGTGCCTCCATATGCATGTCTGTTTCCATTGTGAGCCACCTCGTCTCCCGTCAGCTCAGCCAGACTGGTGGACGAGTTCCTCCTGGTCGGATCCGCAGAGGAAGAGCTGGAAAAGGCCGTCGGCGGCACGGGACTGATGGGGTCTGCGGTCACTGCCATCCCGGCGGAGTTTCTAATGGAACATGCTGCTGCCGATGCTGCTGTACCTGTGGCTCGTTGGGCGTGGCAGCTGTCCTCGTAGACATGCGAAAGCGAAAGAGAAGGGCGAAGAGGTCTGAAGATGGAGATGCAGACGGAGATCGGTCGTTGCTGGTAGTTGAACGTTAAAGGTGGCCAAAAGTGGCTTGCGGCTTAGGCGCTGTGGAGACGCTGCAACAGGCGCTGCCGCTTCGGGCGGTCGCCAAGCCAAGCGCTAATGCTGGGCCGCTAAAGCACCCGTGGATACGGTATGCGTGCCATTGGGGCATCGGTGCGCATCTAGATTTACAGCGGCATTAGAGACAGGCTAGCGTAGGATGCAAATTATATATGGATGTATGATGGCATCGTCAGCATCAAGGAAATAGTATTCAAGGCGCAATAGAGTTTTCTAATTTGGCCATTTCCACGGTCGATGAAGTGAAAAGTGTGAAGATGCCGCCGGTAGATGTAAACACAGTCAAGGAGAGACTCAGCACATTACGCGGATATAAGCAATGGATTCGCAGACCAGTTTTAGTACTTGAGCAACGCAACATAATTCAAACTCATTCATGTACATGTGCCATCATAAAAGCTATTTTACTTTTCCACATCACGCTTCCCCCCTTACAAGTGCTCGCCAAACCAAGTCACAGCCTGGAAAAAGGCCTGCTCCTTGGAAAACTTTTCAATCTTGACGCTGGTGTCGCAGCGGACAGCGAAGCCGTGCGAGACGCCCGAGTACAGGTTGATCTGGAAGGGCTGGCCCGTCTTGATGAGGATCTCCTCGGACTTGTGGCGCTTCTCGGTAGGGAAGATGGGGTCAGTCTGGGCTGCGGCAATGGACAGAGGGCCGGTGATGGCGGCGAGCTCGTCCTCCTCGACGTTGGTGGGGTGGGCGACGAAGCCGGCGTCGATGCCGCTCTTGTAGTGACGCACAACGTACTAGGAAGAAGACTGGTTAGTATAAACATGCATATGTGATACCTATATGTTGACGCCTGCTCACCTTGGCGCCAAAGCAGTAGCCGACAGCGCCAATCTTCTTGATGCCCAGGTCCCGGAGAGCCTTGATGCTCTTCACAATGATGGGGTCGACGGCCGGGGGCGTGTGAGGGTTCTTGCCATCCGAGCCCTCGGTGATCCATTTGACAAAGTCAAAGTCGCCCGGGCGGTTCAGCGACAGCGGGTCGCCGTTGAAGATGTCCGGCATCAGCACGGTATATCCCTGGGCCGCGTAGTTGTCGGCCAGCAGCTTGCTGTTCTGCCAGATGCCAATGACGTCGGGGACGAAGAGAATGCCCTGGCCGTCGCGAGCCTTGTCGGCGGGAGGAGTGGCCAGGTAGGCGTCAATGGTGCCGTCGACCTTGATGAGCTTGCCGGTGGTTTCGCCCCTAGAAGCCACTTGGTTAGATTGATGTTGTGTGGATTACATTTTCTCTTCACGTTGTGATTTATGCATGTGCTGTCCACTTGTCGAGCTCATGGTATCGATCGCTTCTTCACTTCTTCACTCATTCATTCACTTGGCGGGGCAATTCTTCGCATGAGAAAAAAAAAAGAGGAGACGCGGGCCGAGCTGCTGATGCAACCGCCGCCGCATATGAGATCTGACATGAAAAGAAGAGAAAGGAAACGAGAGCAAAAGACAAGATAAAAGCAGAAAGCACAAAACTCACTCGTGGAGGGTTCCAACAACGCAGCACTTTCCAGGAGGGTGAGAGGCCATTTTGGGTATTGTTGAGTTAGTTCGCGCCTCTTAGCGTTGGTCAATTGAGAAGAGAGAAAAAGGTTGTTATTTCAGAGTATAAAAAATAAAACAGCTGAATGGGTGAATGAGGGGTAGATAAAACGCGCGCCTTGCTCGACTATTTCAACCTCCCTCGAGAGCTCTTTCTGAGCGTCGCCGTGGTGGGGCAGCGCAGGCGGAGCAAGGAACAATTGATTGTACAGACGCCGTGACGCAATTCGCGAGCTCCATTTGTCAACAGCCTCATACTGGTTTGGGAAATGGTAAGCAACTACACGGAAACCCGTGTAGAAACCCATTCGAAACTCCAGGTGCAGAGGGCACAGACTAGCACTAGGCGGCTTCGGTTGCCGGCATTCACCAGCTCTCTGATTAGTGGCATTACTATTGCTTAGATATAGGCAGATATCCACACTCCCAACCAGGCTAACAACATCCCACTGCCTCTATAACTGCTGCAGTCTGCTTCGAGCCCCGGTCAACTCTTGTGTAAGTCCGAGCTCGTCAACGAAAATCACTCTTCACTTCATGTGCTTTAAATCCGAATTCCGAGGATGGCAATGGCATTTTAGGCTGGATCCTACCCGTCTCGGCGCGTCAGCCGGGCAGTGGAGCTGGAGGCTCTTCTGGATTCGATTCACGGCGAGCAATTAATCAGCTGGCATATCGACCAGCGCTAGCTGACATTATCTTTCTTTCTTTTCCTGTCTCGACTTGGCAATTTCTGACAAGACGAGTATGGCATAGTGTTGTGCTTTTGTTTTAGTTGTAGCAATCTGGCATTATTCATTGCTGCTCGGCCATGGCTAAACCCCCAACTTCGTCTACTTTGTTCGGATTCCCTTGGGTTTTCGCTTCTTGAACACCACCGGAGTTATACCGCTTGTCTCCTCTTCCTCTTCGGCTTTTACAATGGCATCTTTCTTGACTCCTTGCTTCAGATCTTGCGTCTCGGCGTCGGGGTCAGCTTTGATAGGGCTATCTTCCTCTTTCGGTAGCTTTGTGTCAGCATCACCACCGCCGTCGACATCTTCTTCCTTCTTCACCCCGTCCCCTTGCTCAGCTGGTTCGGCTTTCAACGGTACCGTCGTACTTAGCAGCGCCTCCAGGCCTTCGTCTTCATCGTCTGGCATGGTCTTGGAGTCGCGGCCCCATCTTCTTGGTTTCTTGAAAAGACTTCTCATGGCTTCCTCCTCTTCTTTCTGGTCTTCTGTCTCTTCGCGCTTCCTGACGCCGGTTGCTTTGGCCTCGATCTTGATTTCGCCGTCTGGCTCTTGCTTTTCTTCTACAACAGTCGTCTTCGTAACTGTCCACTCTCCAGGCATGGCCATCTCTGGTCGGAAATCGCTGGGCATGGAAACTCCCAAGGCAGCCAGCTGCTCCCGCTGGGACTTTAACTGAGAATCCGTCGCTTCTTTCGTCGGTGCTCTTGATCCCGAAGGACCGGCCGAAGATGACCCAACGACGCCATTGAGTCTGTCAATCTCTCGCCGAGCCCTCTCCTTTTCGCGCTCTTCTCTTTCGTGGTTGCGGTGGATGTCTCGTAATGATCGTTTCAAGGCGCCTTGATGCTTTCCCGTAGCCTCGTGGTTCGCTCGCTCGAGTTTCGTATCGCGAACATAGACAGAGCAGTGCTTGCACCAATATTTTGGCGTAGATTTCCAGTATTCCGACATCTTCTCTTGTCGTGGTGTGTGTGGTTGGACAAATGATGCAAGCCGTCGCGTAGAAAGAATCGCTGCGCGCCGACTTTACTAGCTATGCGCGCGCTTATGTAAGTGTTGCCTAGAACGGAACTCTCCTAGCCGCCGCCACACTCTCGTTTATACAAGCATTGTATTTCACATATATAATATCGGCTTCAATTCACAACTCGTTGGATGTAGCGACAAACAATCATGGCCGTCATTTTATTTTCTATTACAATCACCATCAGGCAAATTGGACTAGTACACTTATTTCTTGCGGCTCTTTTACTTTGATGCCTTACTCACCTTTTCCATTCGCCAGGTTAGATCCTCTTGGCCTACCCTACGAAAGCAAAATCCACTTGAAAGAATGTACAATTTATTCAGCATAACTGATTAATAACCTAATCGATCTTCAAAACCCAAGACATCCATCTCTTGTATACTCCTCCTTCCTTCTAAACACCTATACCCATATAATAGAGCATGAGAATACCAATAGTCACCATGATATCGTTACCAAGCCGTGCAGCGCCATTGACTGGAACTTCCGCAGAAGCAGACGGAGAAGGTTTTGGAGCTGCATTGGTACCGGCTGGCGGCGCTTTCGGCTGTCCGTCTGGAAGCTGCGTAAGTGGAGGGTCAGATTGCTTATGAGCCCCAGTAGCTGTTGGAACAGCCGCAGGAGGCTTCGTGGGAGCAGCCTCTGAGGGCACCTGGCCACCACCGGGAGAAGCTGGAGATCCTCCATTGCAAGGGGCTTCATGAACTTGCGGCTGCCCATCCCCAATCTGGCAGATTGGAATAGCGTTGCCCGCGTTGTGTTGTGCGTGTGACGGGTCATTCGGGAGACCCTTCACGATGGCGGCGGTATAGACGGCCTTGGTGCTGACAGTGGCATCTCCTCGGCTGTTGCCTTCACCCCATTGAGTGTTCCCGTCGCAAGACATGATAAGAATATCGACTGGTTCGCACTGGGCTGCCCAGTTACGGTCGTACAAGTTGTAAAAGTTCCCGGAGCGACATTGGTAGAAGGTAGTTGAACCACGTAGAGCCAGTAAACCGTTGGAGCACGAAGAGAAGCCGTTTGTGTAGATGGCATCGGGCTGAGTTGGCTCATCGAACTGCAATTGGTAGTTGGACGCAATGTAGCCGGTGCGATTCTTGGCATCTTTAAGAATTCCGCCCTTGAGTGTCAGTAGCAGGGCATCAGGATCGCCGCAAGATCGCTTCTGCTTATTGTATTAGCATAGCTCAAACGAGAGATCGATACAATACCGCCAATGTGATTTGTTACTAACCTCGCTATCTCGTTTGCCGAGCTTGTTAATAGTAACCTCGAATTTGCCATTATAAGACGAGCTGCAGCTTCCCGTAGCGCCATCGTGAGGAGAGGCGCCACTGGCAAGAGCTTCGACAGATGCCGTGAGAATAAAAGCTGCTAATCGAACCCAATTCATTTTGACTACTCAAGTTCGTTGTCAACTTAAGCATACGTATACAACGGCGTTGTTGAGGCAGATATGGCGAGCTTATATATCTTGTACCTACTTTATCTGATCTACCAATTTTTCAAGAATGTGTCTCACCAGGGGGAATAATGACTACATAAGCGTAAAAGATGGTCGCGATATCTTTCTCTTACATACAACACATGGAATGAGGCTTCGAGAATCAGCCACGCTAGAACATTCAAGGAGTGTGTATTATACAGTGAGCCTAGAGAGAGCCTGAGACACATGTATTTATATACAAGACCTGGACATTTCTGACGCCAATTGCCAATTCCATATAAGATCATTTGATGATCCCGCTATTACGACAGCATCTCAGCAGCAAGACACGGTACGGAGAGAGCGCTGGCTTAAGTCAATGATCCACCTTGACGCGACTAGATACTTGGTATATGATGCCAACTTATAGCTATGCTACACCGTGTTTTAGTTAGCATTTGTTTCAGGTGTGAAATTTTTTTGCGTACAGCTCTTCAAGGTTGTAAATAGATCAATATAGTTGATGCGTAGAAAACTCTGATACTGCGGGCGTTTGGGGAAACCAGCAGAGAATTTTTTCTACAAAGCTAATCATTTTTTTCACGAAAATTACAAGCAAGAAAATTTTCCACAGACTCTTGTGAAGACTCCCGATGGGAATTGAAAACCGTTCAGCCGATTGTCTTGAGACGCATACGCGTCCCTAAGAAGGGCTGGGCGTCACGGACTGAATCGCAATGTCTCACTCTGCCCTTAACCCCTCGCAAAAACACATTGTGGCGAAAGGTTTGCGTTTGTTGAGCTGAGCATTTTGAATTAATTTCCTCGTGAATGGTGGCATAGTGGATTTGTTCTTGTCGATTATGGGCGATATGGCAGATGAGGATACAAGTGGATTTATTATATGGAAGTATTACAGCTCGCGAGTGTACCACCAGATTGAAAGCAAGCATGAAGTTGTAACAAGCGGAGAATGACGAATACTGATGAGCATTACTACTACAAATATAAGGAGGTAGTATAGCAGATGTGTCAGAGGCAGTAGAAACGAACCAAATTCTTGGGCAACTACATAAAGACACCAAGAGCCCGTCCCGGGTGCCGAATAATATAAATACAGAACTTCAGCATTGCCTATTTCAAGTAAACTCTCTCTGCTCTCATCACAAGTGATCAACACCTCAAGTAAGCTGTCATTGAGCTGGAAACCACAAGACCGGCCAGAAAGGCAGTCGTATCCATGGTACTACACAAGAGACCGACATCGTCCCTAACTCTCTTTCTGAGAGTTGGAACTGTAGCAAAGTTGCCGATAGCCTCAAGGATAGCTATAAGCATCTGCGTTATTAAGACTGGATCGGACGCGTCTCGAAGCTCTGTAATAACTCTTCCCACTGCGTCAAATCATGGAAAGTCGGTTTATGCTGCCGATGCCCAACTCCAAAAGCGAGGGTAGCACTATCTCCTACATTGTCGAAGCGTCCGATTTGGCCTCATGCTAAATCGATCACAGTACACTACCCGCCTCATACTGGCCACGCCTCAAGCTGTAGGCAACAGACGAAAAGGATCTTCTCAACAAGTAGCCACACAACAGCGTCATCCTCATCAATAGATTGCTACCGTCCATCGTTTTGCTTCAGACAGGCGGGGTGTCAATTGGCCAATATATATAAGACCTGACCTCCAAGGTTTCTCAAGACAAGCAGCGTCTATTGAAATCGTGCAAAGGCGTCAACAATTGCGGTAGTAACGTCATGTGAACAACGCAATCCGTCCATCGTGTCATCGACAAAAGTGAAAAGGGAGAAAGGTGTGCAAAAAAGATCAAATGTGTATAAGGCTGTCGCGAGGGGCAACGACCTGACCCCCAAGCCTTTTCCAAGGCAAGCAGAGTCTCTTGAGTCCATTCAAGATGGTCAAGAAATTGCAGGATAATGTCGAGTAACGCAGTGTAAGGATCATGGCCAGTGGGCTTTGAATCTAGTCCGTTCGTTCATCTTTCATCTGTAGAGAGTCTTGTCGACGGTTGAAGATGATAGATTGACTTGCGGTTGACTTGGTGAACGAAAGTGGATGGTATGCCTCAGTCATGATAGATGCGCTCAAGGTACGGTGAGGGTGTCTGCTGCTTGTTTCGCGTAAGTAAATGTGATGCGGGAGTGAGAGAAGAGAAGAGACGAGAAGAGAAGAAAAGAGAGGCTGCCCAGGTACATGCAGTGAATGCATTTCAGCGGGCCCGCTATCGGTAGCTCCCACGGTAGTGCGATACTTAATTCAGTGGGGCGTGGGGGTGCTGTGCTGGCCATCAGAGGCGCAAAATCCCCGAGACCGCAGCGTGGGAGCGACGAGAGACTCGCCTGTAATGAGAGCACTGACGCGGTAGACTGTTGTGTGCTGATTGCGTGTATTCCTCTCAGTTTTTCTTTTTATTTGGTACTATCGTATTTTTCCTACTTGATAATATTTTGTGTGTTAAAATATCTAAATATTTTTTTGTGTAGACTGGCCGCCTTGTTAATCCGCAAATGGGGTGCCAAATAACGACTGGAAGCTTGAGTATTGGATAGCAGTTCTTTCTATGACTATATAAGTGATATCAGCCTGCAATACACACACATATATATGTACATGTATAACTAGCAAAATAAATCGCTATTTACATACGACGGCAAGGGGCTGGCATTGGCATTATTCCTGGACAGTATTTGGCTGCATCTTGCACAAGATGGGTGGCAGTCGAGGATCCGAAATTCTGCAAAGGCAATTTTGAGTTGGCTTCAACACTCGACCAAAGAACTTCTGGAATCCATAGACTTGAAACAAGTCCGAAAATCGAGTGTCCGAATTCTTCTCTCATAAAAGCAGTGCCTGGAAGCAGCTGGCAGGCAACGGCCGACAACTGCCAGCCGCCAGCTTCAGGCAGAAGATGACTGACGTACCCTTCCTATTGATTCCGTGAATTTCTCAAAAACTTGGATGAAACTTCTCTCATTTGGCGCGTTCACGATTACTCTCGACATTCCCCTTTTTCATCGGAACACCATCCTGTTGAGTCAAACCGCTCTTAGCAACAAGCAAACAAGGCAGACAACTTGACCTAAGACGCAAGATGACTAGCGACATGGCTGATGTCGAAGAATACATGGCGTCGAAAGATCAAGCCGGCTTAATGCTGGAGTGTCGAGAGTTTGAGGCTCCCTACGCAATGGCACGACAGACAACCCCCCCTCCTGATATCGTCATTACATTGACGCACACAATGACCAGAATGCAAGCGATTGCAGTCGTTGAGCCGTTAGTGTACCGCATCCAGAGAGAGCTGTGGCAAAATGCGCTGAATGACGAACTCGTATCTAAATGGAAAGAGGAGACGGTTGCGGTCTTGCCTCTATCCTCTAAGGCTTGGCTCGCTACGTGGGCCAGACAGGCAGGCAAACCGATAATTCTCGAGCGACTAGAAAAGTTTGCTGAGGATCGAGAAGTGTACCAATGGACGGAAACTCAAAGACGTCCAGGCCTAGCGTTGTGGTCGACAACGTCCCCAGCTGTAACAATTCTGGACGACTTGTTCGAACTGGCTGAAGTCCCAGACCTGAATAGGGAAATGGCGAGACGAAAATTGAAGGCAATGACTGCATCGCTTCGTCACTATATTTTCAAGATGGAGGAACGCATGTATTTGAGGGCTAAAGCAGAAGCCATGAAAGGTATAAACGGTCTTCAGGATACCATCAAGCTTGCTATGGCCAACTCTACGGACGGCATTCAGGATACCATCAAGCTTTCTATCAAAGAAGAAATGCAAAGCTTTCAACAAGGCAATGAGAAAGGTACCACCAAGCGTACGCATGAAGAGGCCTTCAGCGACCCTGATTCCCATTCTGGGGAACCAAGCGAACCAGCGCAAGATGGGACGCAGTCTACGAAAGGACACCCAGGCCTGAAATCACGACTCGGTTGGAGATAACCCATTGGGGAAAGCCAGTCATAGAGGAATGCACAAGACGAACTCATTGCTTTACTTTGCTTTGCACAATAAAACGGACAGACGGCGAACTGGAATGGTATGGGCACAAAAGGCGTTGAAAGTCAACGAGTCGAGGTCATAAAGGAACCAATGAACACGGAAGCGCTCAAGACAACCGGCGTCTATATATTACGTTCATTTGGTGTTGACACGACATGGATAAATGGAAATACTAGGAGAAATATGGGATTAAATCGCTTGGTGCAAACAGCACAGATGAATTGCAACGCATAGCCAATAGTACCGAAATTGATCGACGAGGATAATTGATCTCTCTCCCTCTCTCCCTCTCTCCTTTTTTCCCTTTTTGGCGCGCTGAAAGACGCACCTTGTACGCGGGTCTTAGGATAAGGCCAGTAGAGACAGTAGAGACAGTAGAGACAGTAGAGACAGTAGAGACAGTAGAGACAGTAGAGACAGTAGATATAGACAGTAAAGTTTTGCAGCATAATCCTGTATTCTCGCAGTCTATAGATAGATGACTACAGGAATTTCATGGCGAATACCGCGTTTCCTCTGCAGCCACGCAGGTATACCTCTGTGAATGTTTTACAGTCTCGGAGACGAACTCAAAAACGCTACCTCAATATCCCAGATCGCCGTACACAGCCAAGCACAAAGTATCTCGGTCGAACTATGACGGCAAATTAGGCGTCCGTATGTGCGCTGTCGACTTCTGCTACTTCTACTACTTCTACTACTTCTACTACTTCTACTACTTCTACTACTTCTACTACTTCTACTACTTCTACTACTTCTACTACTTCTGCTACTTCTACTACTTCTGCTACCTCTACTACTTCTACTACTTCTGCTACTTCTACTACTTCTACTACTTCTGCTACTTCTACTACTTCTACTACTTCTACTACTTCTACTACTTCTACTACTTCTACTACTTCTACTACTT